TAACGGGCATGGACACGGTCCCGTGCTGAGCAACATGCACCAGCCCGGCACACCGTTGGCCATGGTGGGTATGTCAGGCATGCATTATGGCACCCACCATCCGATGCCTCAGTACCATCGGTATGGAGCTGGCCACGACCAATTGGGACCTCGTCAAGGGGACCGACCATACAAGTGTGATCAGTGCACACAGGGCTTCAACAGGAATCATGACTTGAAGCGCCACAAGAGGATACATTTGGCTACGAAGCCATATCCTTGTGGCAACTGTGAGAAGTCTTTCTCGAGGAAGGATGCGCTGAAGGTAGGCTGCCTGATTCCCCTGCGATTAACGACGAGCGAAATGCTAACGTTCCCTTTGCGTCACGTCCAGCGTCACAGACTAGTCAAGGGTTGCGGAAAGAACGATCAGGTCAACGGAAACAACAACAAGCCGGGAACGGCGGGGGACAATAACACACGGCCACCGGGTGATTACTCGGTAGGCTCCAGGACTTCGCCCATGGAACGCATCGACGAAACTGCGAGTGATGACGCAGCAGTGGCGCGATTGGCTTCGTGAGAAAAACGACCACTTCGAACTGTGTTCAGTTTTTACCTCGTGTCTGCTTTCATTTATGCCTTTTCTTCCCATATGTGCTCTTTTGCGGATCAACACTAGCGAACGAAGCGGAATTTGGATACAATGGCGGTACTTTTTTTTATTCGGATATGGAGGGGATAAATCGGGCGCTTGGACGGCTACGCTTTTTTCCATAACCTTCTTGTTTGATGGCTTTTCGTGCAGGCTTCGATTTTTTCTGGAGGAGTGGTTTTTCACGCATCAATAAAGAGGAGGAAATGGACTGTGGTGGTTCTACCAAAGAGATGCAGATGAGCTGGCAGCTTCATCACCACATAACGGCTTACTGAAGTCTGTTTTGCATTGCGTTTTTGTCTTGTTCCCTTCCTCTTTTTTTTCGATTTTCTTTTCTTTTCTAACGGAGTAAGATGAGTTTTACACCACAGTGGCTTCCCAAAGGGACATTGCTGAGAACAAGACTTTGCAATGGGAGTAAAGAAGGGGGGGGGGGGGGGGGGGGGGGTTGTTGGCCAATACAAACGGGAAGTTGACTTGACAGCGAGTGCGTTTTTGTGTGTATCTGTATAAGTAACCCCGACCCAACTCTTTGGGAACGGTGATCGAATTTTATATACCCTACTGTTTTACACTTGACAAACCATCGGATAAGTGCTCGTAGAGCTAGTAGTTCGAAATTGGGCCTACCGCGGTTACGGTTGCGGAGTGTGCGCCTTCTTGGTTAAAACGCTGGTGGATAGATACGGCTGAGTAGGTACCTACCTATCTAAAATACTTACCTGTCATGCATGCTCCTCCTGTTCAGCACTCCAAATAGCAAGAAGCCACAAGGTACCAAAGTACTGCATCAACACTCATCAACTGTCTACTACCACTCATTCTTCATCTAGGCCCTCCTTCTTCGGCGTGAGAGGGGAAAAGCGAGGATTTTCTCAAAAGCTAGGTACTAACTCTTGCTCAATCACAAAACTGCATACCCAGAAGTAGCTATGTAGTTAGCTAGCTCTACACACTAGCGTCGTCAAGTAAGCTGAAACAAGCTGAAAGGACTCTTCCTTAAAGCAAAGGAGGAAGTGTCGGCCGGCCGTGCTCTTGGCGCCCATTCACTGTGTTTCCATTCACTGGCACTCCCGTCCTGGATATTTGGGCTGCCTTGCTGTTGTTTCCTTTCTTCCCCGTTCCTTCTCCTACCAGAAACAGCAACCTTTTCGTCGTCCTAGTCCAATAGGAAGAGATCAAGCAAGGGATGTTTTTCACTGCACAAATAGCTAATCATGTAGGCGAGAGGAGATACATGTGCTCTACCAATTCGATACCGTACCACGAGACAACCACGTTTCTATTCGCAGGTCACTCATATGAAAGAAAAGAGAGTTGGATTAGATTAGAGGAGTGGAAGCTCAACATAGCACTTGAGTGTTCATCTATATCTTCTACACGGTGGATGTTACTTGATCACTTGAGCAGGAAAGGCCCAAAATCATGGCTGAAGTCCGGGAGTACCACTCCCAGTACATCAGACTGAGCTGAATGGCTAGCTAATGACACCCAAGAGGGGCGACAAATGATAAAAAGAATAGAGAAAGCTAGCATCATCTTACTGCTTAAACCCAATTACCATCACTAATAGTGCCTACTACCCACTAGCGATTTAGTTTCAAGGCAAGTACCACAAGACTTCTCGCCAGCACTTGAGCATCTGGCGCTCAATCTCGAGCAAGCCGAGTGAGAAGCCCTGCATACACACAGCTATGCTAGTATGAAACCACAGCCGCACTCGCTACATAGCACTCTTCAAACAGCGCCTGTTAGACCCTACGATTGAGTCGTTGCTTACTGGGTCGAGCTCAGTTCTCTCCCCTGTGGCTTTAGGTAGGACCTCACTTGGACGGAGCGGCAGCCATGCCGTCCGGTCTTTCATATTTCAGGCTCTGGGTGGGTCTTGGTTCTGGACGGGATGCTTAGTTTTAGATGGGTATACATAGGTAACCGCGGGATTGATCTGGTCCTTTCTTCCTGTTTCTTATTAGGCTAGATACAAAGTAACTGAATTGGTCCCCTCGGCGGTCCCGATCGACTGTTCTGGATATGATAGATGTCGGAGACACTCGAGATCTGTTCGAATTTGAATGTATGATATGATTTAACGCCAATTGCTATAGTTTTCTTTATCAAGAATAAAAAAAAAAAAAGATCGAAAACATTGATACGACTGGGTTGCTAGGCAAAGAAATTAAGGAAATCGAGCAAGAGAGCCGTTAGTGTTCAGCTAGCCACTTACCAGTTACCACTTACCACTTACCACTTACCACTTACCACTTACCACTTACCACTTACCACTTACCACTTACCACTTACCACTTGCCGCTTGCCGCTTGCCGCTTCTACTTACACCATCCGACAGACCGTTTCTATCATCGTTCCAACTTACAAAATCTACAAACCAACCAACCCCTCGCAAAGAAAGAACTTCCATCATCGATAATACAAGACTTCTTCCATCGCGTTCAAGTGGTACAACTACGAAGCTAGGTAGCTGCACTTCCAATGATCTTCTCTCAAACCAAACATAGGTAGTCTTCCGCGGAGCAGAGCTGTGAACGACCGAGGAAAGCAGCAACGAAACGATAGACCAACATATGAACAACAGCTAGCTACCTACCTATGTAGTGGTATGTAGGAACAGCTACCGCAGTTATCATTGCCACCGTCAAGTCTAGACCCCTCGTCCGTTGGCAGCGTGTCCGCCACACACATAGGGCGTACCTATCCTTCTCTCGATTCCCTTGCGTCCGCCACGCACAACGGGGTCTTTGGCGGCTGTATGTAGCTTTTGTTGCCTCGATCACTGGCTTTCTCGCCTTTTGACTTTTACTATGCGAGTATTTCACTAGATGTGTTGGGGAACATATCAAGCTCTGTCCGCTTCTCGGTGGTACGGTCTGGACATTCACATCCTTTTAGGTCTCAGCCTACTGAGGAATGCTGGACAAACGGTTGAGACAAGAAGTATAGTCGCAAAGTGCAAGTTCCACGCAATACACGGGACTGAGCTGGTAAAAATGTGTCAGAGTTCCTCCGACATTGTAGCCCGGGAGTGTTTCGCTCTAGCCTTGGACTAAAACGAAGAGCCTGCCCTACCCCTACTCGGTGGTGGGACGACATGGGGATATAACACCACCACCATCACTAGATAGAGGAATCGTGGAGAACAATAGTGAAGTGACAATAGAGGATCGAGAATACTGACTTCATCAAGAGCAATATATTGTGACTTCATGCTGACCGTTCTGTGGTAGTGTCCCGGACTTCTTTCAAAGTACATCCTCGATCCAGTGATCTACGCTCAGAGCCGTTCATTCTTAGAAGCCCTGTCACATCTTTACCAAACATGGAGACTCGCAACCGGTCAATGTCTATGTCTGGAGTATTTCCAAAGATCACTAGACCGCCAGTTCCGAACGCAGTCTAGTTCCACAGCCGATAGCCGAGTACTAAAAACCGAGCATCTCGATTTTCGTACCACCCACCCAAGATTGTTTCCTTGACCTATTGGGAATCTAACAACAGGAAAGGAGAGCAACCAGTCCTGTGGATTTTCACATCCCAAGCTCATGCTACTTTGTCTTCGCTGCCTGATAAGCAATTAAGTAGCATCCCTACACGACGAAAACAATGGATAAATAGAGATATTCACTTGGAATATGTAAATTTTGTAATCAAAGCTTCTATGCCTTGAAGTTAAGAGCAAGGGATTAGCTCAGGCTATAGCAATCCTTACTATAGTAGTCGCAAGGTGACATGAATGGGCTGATCTGAACAAGGGGAAGTGAAGCTGGCAGCCTGAGGGGGTAAGACCGATCAGTCTCCTCATTTTCGCACCTTGACCAATTCTTCCATCCATCCCCCACAAAGATGCTGCAGGAAGATGACCTCCCCCCGGTTTGAAGACCCGGTGACGCTTGAACGGGCTAGAAGGACCAATTGTCGGAACGTTGTGAATGGTCCCGGAAATATCCCGTCGTAGGTACTGTGTATGCGCAGAAGTACATGACGCATCAACAAACACCCATTCATGATCCCTGCAGAAATCAATAGCAACTCAACATTGGTTGCGTACTTGCATACGTTGAGTTCTGTTAAGGCATAGGGGTTTCGTCCGTCCATAGCAGACATACAGCAGCGCCTAACTTCGACCACACGAGGTAAGTTAGTCAGCCTTGGCATGGCTCCATTCAAGTTCTTGACAGTTGTTTCCCTGTTAGTGTAACCTCTTCGAATGCCGGTGTGATCTTTACCAGACAGGCCCAGCTTCTGCACGTCTTGATGGCTACCTCAGGTAATCACACTGTCGGACAAGACACTCGTCAGAACTCGAAGGGTCAATGCTAACACTGCGGCTGAAGCGAATCAATGGATTTGTGATCCCTGAGGCTCAGCGACACTCCACGATATTGCACGAAGACGACGGGAGGTGAGCACGAAGCAGGGAAGTTGTCCCGTTTATTGATCGGCTGAGGCCACTCCCGGTATGGGATGTGTACGAAATCGCCAAAAGAAAAGGAAGACAGCCTATGGCACCAAGATTGTGTCACCAACAACCCTCGGTTAGATGGTTTTGGAAAGACTCTTGCCATACAAGAGCACGGTATGTCTTGATATGACGGACAGAAGTTCCGACACCTACAGTCCTTCTCCCCACGGTGGAAATGCAGGCTGTTGGGGAGGACTCCGAACCGCTCGCAGTACTTGGCCAGTAGCAAGCAGAATCCAAACAGAGGGGAGGAAAGGTCATGGCTTGGCCCGGGGCAGCAATGCCCGTCAGCAGGGTTCAGGAATTTGGTTCGCGGTGGAGGGCGGCAAGCCGTGGCGCTCTGCGACTTGCATTTCAGCCCGCCCAGAACAGGAAGTGGTAGTAGCCGTTCTCAGTCCAAACATCGAAAAAGGTGTGGGTGACCGGCGGGTCATTGTCAATGTTCGGGTGAGGCACGCGGGTGGCCACGGCCATCGTTTCATGGCCCAAAAGAATTCAGAAAGTCCACTTGGGGCAAATCCAATGAATCGATCATCTTCTCTCCGTCACCACCACTTGATTGAAGCTACTACTCTCACACCCCCGTCAGCAGGCCTATTGGTGATTAGGCTGACCAATGCACATGGCATCCTCAACCTCCTTCGCACGGTGTGTCTAGAGGTCACACATTGCGACAATTTGCACCCCTTCCCCTCTTTGTAGTCACTTCCGCCGCTGTCGAGCGTCTCGAGTTCGCATGTCTGATTTCCGCTTCGGCCCTCGACATGCCCCTGTGTCCATGTGAAGGCCGCTACCCGAAGGAGATGATATATCGTCCGATAACTGGACTTGCGCCCTATCCCAAATATTGCCCTTCGAGTGTGGAAAATGAGCCAAAACCATTGGCACGAAGGCTCAGCGCATCCATGACTGCTTGTTTTACGCAATAATGGCTTGCAGATGGGCTGAGGAGGCCGGCCAGCCATCTAACCGCCGCTGAAGAGTGTTGAAACGGCGGGCTTGCAGACTTGTAAAGCCTTCATGCTGCCAATGCAAACTGAATGTCCCCCCATGGGCTTTCGGGATGAATGAAGTGCGATGCTAACATCCCATCTCAAATATGTGTGGTATGGGGGGGTATGGTAAGCAGGAAATGTCGTGATTATGGTTGCCATGTCTTACCAAGGCTATTAGGAGCTGGAGACGAGGACAGCTAACGGTGCCTTGGACGGACTTGTGTCCGTTTGCGAGCGTGTTTCGGTGAGAGTAGATGCGATGCAACCCCCCATTCTTTCGATCATCGCCCGCCTTTGGGCCTTCCTCTTCCATTCGCCAGCCTTTCCCGACCAGCCGCCGTCTTCGGCGCGCGAGCTCATCTGAATATGGTGGGTGGCTTCCTGATATGGCGGGGCCATAGGCGACTTAGCGGTTCTCCCCATGCTGTGGCTTTGACAAGAGCATATCCAAATCTGAGTGTTATAACCGCCGCATAACGCCCTCCCGTTATTGTGGCTTGTTTATGCCGATGTCTCGAAGACACTCCCATAGTTCTGCTGATACCACGTCTGTTGGTCGGTGGCCAAGATAAGAGATCATTCATTGGAGATGTGCGCATTTTGTGAACGGCAACTTTGTTGGAGAATGGAACGCAAGGAAGAAGCACTTACCCAAATTCTGTAGCTGGAGTAAAAACCGGCAACTCTGACATCGGACTCAAGTATGAAGTGCGGTTTGATGACTAACCAAGTTGTGAACGGTCGCACAGGCTGGCCTGGCTTTGGCTCCCCGGCGAGCGGAAATGCAATATCTCCGAGAAACTTTGTCCCAGGGTTTGGCTCTGATGAGTGTTACAGGTTTGGCCATTGCTCCCGGAGCCCCGCGTCTTGAACAGGGAGAGCAGCCTAGTAAGCCATGACCAAGCACGATGCGAGCGCGCAGTTGTGATGGATATCGGCTGGCTGCATCGAGAAGAGATAAGATTCGCTGGCAGTGGTGATGTCGGTAGCAAAGGTAACACATGGAGGCCGGATGTCCTGGAGAAGCTCTGGCCAGCTAAGCTGTGCAACGGCAGCCGGTTGTGGTATCTCGATGGAGAGTCAGTGTAAGGATCTTCAACTTTGGTGTGAGTGTCAATGCAGTTCGACTGGGCAACAAGGAGAGGGAGGGGCGAGAGAGTACGAAGGAGGTCCCGTCGGGATGTCGCTAGCTCAACACGGGCGGTTGCGGAGGCTGGGTTTGCCTGACGTTGAATTAGACTCTGCTGCTGGCGTCTCGCGGCTATGATCCGTCCCAGTGGGACGTCAGGTTGGCTTTAATGCATTGGCGGTCGCATTTCGATTGTCTGACCTTGCCACGTCTAGTCCCGTATCTCCTGCCAACTGGTCGTCAGCGATGTGATAGTCATATCCATAGTACTAGGTACGCACCGATATCGAAGGGCTGATTTGCCTAATGTTGCCTTGTACATACTACATACATATGTAGTTGTTAGGCTAGTCGGCGACCATTCGGGCGACCTTGCCAGAGAAGGGTTGAAGAGTGCAGATCACCAGCTCGACAAGCGCGTGTCGCAGGGAGTATGTAATGGGAGCGGGACAGATCAGACCCCCAAAGGGTAAATGCAAGAGCATCATGGCACTTTTGCTGGAACGCCCCACGGTGCGGTACCTGCAGCGGTTGCGAGCCCGAAAGACGACCAAGTACGTGAAGGTTCCAATGTTTTGACATGGCGAGCAGTCGGAAGGGCACGGTTTGGACGCATCGTTTCGGGCGTGTTGTCATTTGGGTCGACGTGGAGGAACTGGGGCGGCATGGATTGGCGGCCGTGATGTTGTTGAAGGTTGGTTGATGGAAGCAAACTACCTCTTCCGAGAAGTGGTCGAGCCATAAGAAGGGGAAGATGTCGTCACCCCGCCCGTAAAATTTTGCCCTCCGTGACTATCATTCATGGTGCCTTTCCCTGAAATATGGAATTGACTCTTTGATCCACCAACTCCATCTTTCTTTCCTCCGTTCGTTTCTTTCGTTCCTTCCCTTTTTGAGATTCTGGTCCGAGTGACTCGATCGCATTTTCTCACCCTCGTCAACTCTCTTTGAGCAGTGAGTACAAAGGAAGGTGCCGGTGCAGATCGTACTGCTGTACTTTGCGGGATTGTAGCTGGTCATTCGGGAAGAAGTCGATCCATCGATGATGGCCAAAGTGTGTTGAATTTAGGTGTTGTCAAGCAGAAGTCGGATGTTTGATGTCACGGATAACAAGCAGATGCACCTTAAACAGGCACGGAAAGAGCAACTCAAATCAATGGGCCGGCCTGTGCGTACAAGTGTTTGGGATTTACTCTCCATCGAGTACCTGTACCTTTGCGGCGGATTCCGCTTTTTCTTGGCTTTGAGTACTCAGGTAGTCCTTGCTAGCAGCCACTAACTGATTTACCCGGGATGCTGGGTGTATATCTGCTAGTACAAAAACTGAAAAGACATGGAAGCGACCAAACAGTGGCAGGGTTACACTCCACTTCCACTCCTCCAACGTGCCGCTCAAGGTGAGCATGTTTCTCTGACACAAAGTCTCAAATCGTGCAAAAGGGGCGACTGCTCCAGTCTTTCGAACTCTGGGCAGCCTCTTCTTCTCCTTTTCGTTACTCGTTCAATTGTTGTACTCCAACCAGGGAAAGACGCGATCGAAGCCAGTCAAGAATCAGAGCTGTCTCACACTCGTCTTCCCACTGCAAAATCCCCACCGCCGGTTGTGCCGAACACCATTTCGACGACGGCGACGACAAAAGACGTCAATATCTAAACCCACCAACATCAGCCACTCACACGATATGGATATGGATATGGGCATGGACATGGGCTCCGGCACGAGTTCCGGCGCCAGCGGACACAACATGATGGCTGTCTTCCAGAACTCGATGACCACATCCCTTTTCTCGGCAGCATGGACGCCCCATTCAACCGGTGCCTACGCAGGCACCTGCATCTTCCTCATCGTCTTCTCTGCCATTCTCCGCGGTCTATTAGCCCTACGCAACTGGCTGGAGTACAGATGGATCGATGCCGAGATGAAGCGCCGCTACGTCGTTGTTGCCGGACGAGGAACGCTGGCCGAAAGGGTTAGCAATGATTCACTGGCGAAGCCCATGGTGCTGAGCAGCAGCGGCGTCGAGGAGAACGTCATGGTCGTTCAGAAGCATGGAGCGGAAGGGCGCCCGTTCAGGTTAAGCGTGGATCCAATCCGTGCGGTGCTTGATACGGTCATTGCGGGTGTCGGATATCTTCTGTGAGTTTTGGTCAAATCCTCCACGTCTTACACTTTACTGATATGGCGTGTCTAGTATGTTGGCGGTCATGACCATGAATGTCGGATACTTCATCTCGGTGCTCGGCGGAGTATTCATCGGCAGTCTTATTTGCGGCCGCTATGCGACATACTTCGGTCACTAGCATGCATGGCCTGTGGGTACAAAATCTGGGATTTTCTGGGCATGGGAGTTTAGGTTTTGATCAGCATTTTATTGGTGTACGGTTGTATGTTTTACTTTCTTTGTTTTTGGGAGCATGAACGGGGCGTAGGAATCGTCACGATCAACAGGATGACAAGTCCCTAGAGATGATCACCAGTAATCGTAATGGGCATCACAAGATCGCCAGCGCTCATTGTTCACAAGGATGGAAGCATGGAATCGGATAGTGCTGCGGCTATGGCAAGTACCTGTACATTTGGCGGCGCTAGCATGGGAGACGTGCATAAACTTGCTCAAATCCACTCAACCTTGATGGTCGGTCAGTGGCTGGATCCCCGCCCCTGCTCCAGAGGCACCCACTGATCCCATTTGGCGTAGGTACTATGTAATATTTGGAATACCCCCACTCGGTCCACCAACACCGACGACGACCTCCGGTTACATATCCATTCCGGTCATGCTCCGGCTCCGGCTCCGTGTCCGTGCACGGCGCCGGGTAATCCTCTCTTTCTGGGTTTATTCTCGGCCCTCATGACGTTCAAACGCGGAAGTCACGGAACCTTTGAATTGGACACCAAGTCCACAACCTATCAGGGGCGGTGAAAAGCCCTAAACAAGTGCGAACGCAACCGATCTTTCACGACTCACCCTTCAAGTCGTTTGTCCTCTCTCCTAACGAGAAACTGACAGTGCTTCAAAATGAGTATGTTGTACGCCTCAGTCTCAGCGCTTCCATTTTTGGTTGACGCCTTGGATTCTATCCTACAAGCCTGATCCCCTCAATGACACGCCTACATAAGCAAACCAAGATGAAAATGAAAACGCAAAGCTTTATGATCCTCGACTGCTTCTCTAAACAGGTCCATCCCGTCGACCTGCGTGCTACTCTGCTGCGCGGAACGCCCATGTTCTTGTGCACAAACAACTCTTCCCGTCAGGAGATCCTGTTGTATGCTTTGGCGGGTACCATTTGGTGTGATGAACCACAAGGGAAGTCCCTTCTTGTACTGATGGTTATTCCCATGTCGAGCTCCGGAATTTATGACGGCGTTCCCTATTTCGATGCATCATCCAAATGGTACAAGACAGATATCCAGCCAATTTCGGGTTCGTGAACACGTTGCAGGATCCCCAGGGTATTAGGCTCATCGCTTCTATTTCAGGAATCTGACAAGTGGCAGGTCCTGATGCGGTGCCAATAAAGAGCAAGGAGAAGACGTTGAAGCTGTTGCGAGGTTGTTTTATGATATATGAAAGAAGAACATGCGATTCGTAAGATACCAAGCTCGCCGTTGGGGGAGAGGACTCACTGCCAGTTAACTTCGAAAACCTTGCTCCAAAACGCATTTGATGCTTTGCCCCATGATCCTTTCAGTCAACCACAGGCTCTCCCACCACCACCAAAATCTCTTTCATATCCAACGACCCGTCCGATAACGAAGTAGATGTTGGACCTCCTAGAACATAGGTGGCGGGCAGAGTCACACATTGAGGCATCCACCTGATCGTGAAGTCAAGCTCTGTTCACCAACAGAATCCAGGTCACTCTCTTGTAATTCCTCAAGCTCGATGCCATCATATCCGACATAAAGGGACTGGGATTGACAGCGTCCGGTGTGGTATTTGGCCAACGGTGGAGTTGGTAATCTATCTCGGAGGTGAGTGGCGCCCTTAGGCAAAGAAAACCCTGATCGCCAACAGTCATGTTCGCATATCGAACCTTTTAAACCGTTGGTTGACAAGTTAATCAAGCGATGTAGATGTACTGAAGTATAGTTAACAGAAAGAACATATCCAACCTACTGATCCCAAACGGAGCGACATACCGTATCTTCATCTCCACGGGTCATAAGCGCCATTGATACAAAACAGCCTGGAAGGTCACGCGTTCATTGATCAAAAGTTCACTTCATCAGGAAAGCGCTGACTCAAACACACACGGGATGGGCTAGAGTGACGCGATTTATGGTCTTGTTCATTCCCTTCCTGAGATCTGTTTACTCACTGGCAAATGAGTTGTATCAGGTCCTTCAGCTTACCCGTCAGTGGTTCTTTCCCCATCAAAACAGACTGTCAATGCCGGTATGAGCAACCTCCTTGTCTTTCTTCTGGAGTTGGCCTCACAAAATTTGGGCAGGGAAGGAGCAAATGTCTTGTCTGATAAAATGCCCAACAAAAATGGTGGGGCTTGATCCATCGATGTCATTCAAGTCAAGGCAATATATTCCTCCAGCATGACCTTGGACTCTCGGAATATACATCTGCTCACAGCCAGCTTTCCTGGTTCCTTTTCCAAAGACACATTCGATCTGATGCTTTGAGCCTCTTCATCACCAATTTTCCAGGCGCTTATACTGCAAATTTTCCAAAGGGGGGGCCAGTCGGGCGGGACATGTACCCGCGCTATCGCCTATTTCCCGTGTTTGGCCACTACAACACCGCTCATCCTTTATAGACGCTTCCGTTATAGGGGCGGGTGGTTGGATCCCTGCTGCTCTTGAGCCGCCAACTCTAGCCACAAGTCACAATGGTGAACGCCACCAACGGCACACGGCTGTGAAGTCGAACACTTTGACGTTTTGGGGAGACTAACCGATCTTGACCCTGGTTAGCGTTACTGAAAGAAAGAAAATCATTGCAGGTGATTCTATTCCATCTGTTACGGGGACAATTGATCTCTGCGTTAATTTGGTTGAAGGATGTCTACTCAATGTCCAGCTGGTTGGGAGCATACTTCTCTTTGGGAATTGCTCTGGGAGATGTACGTGATGTGGGTGGCAGAAAACTGCTCGTTGCCAACTCGCAACTGCCAACTTTTTTCTACTTAGGTGCACCAGACTCGCGGCTGGAATCCGCTTTCAAGATGGGTGATGTTGGTGACAAGTGAAAGGAAGATGAGTGTCTGTTGGAAATTTTGATCCAACTCCAAACTCAAGAGTCTCTCAACAGCGCTGACACTTGCAGAGTATTCTCTTTTTCTACCTTTTCCATCGTCAAAGGGAGGCTTTTACAAGATGCCCACGATATTGTGAGATCCAACCTGATTGAGGGCAGATGTTGGGAGCAATGAATGTCAACAGCGCTTGGTTGGTGATATCTCTTCTCTGGGTGTATGAGAAGCTTAACAGAGGTACTAGTGGACAACCAAGACATTCGAGTATAAAATGTTGCCATCATCACCGACAGAATGGAAAAATGGCCGGCAGCACCAAACACGTTAGCACGGCGCTCCTAGACCCGAGACCAATAAAGTATAACCTTTCGAAGTAGCAACCATCATCAAATCAACATCCAATATGTCGATCTCTAGGGACCAGAGCATAAGAACAGATCTTGAGAAGCTCTACAGGCAAATTAGCACTCGATTCTCTCTTCTCAACTTCTTCTTCGATGATCCCTTAGGCAGTACCGACATGGAAAACCCTAAGTGGAAAGACGAAGGGGAAGAGTGCAAACGCTTGTCGGATAGATTTGAGACGTGGGCTAGGACATACAAACTTGGGGCGGCCGGCCAACTGTACGACATGAAGCGCAGGATGGACAAGAAAAGGGAGCTTTTGACGTTGTGTAACAGGCTTTACGATGCTACTGAGCACTGTAATAATCCCCTAGCCAAATTCAAGGAGAGAAAGGAGAGACGCTGACAGTTTTTGTTTGACGTTACCTAGTGCATAGTGGCACCCAGCATCCCAATTGGTCAACTAACACGCCGTTCACAGTCCCTAATCTCACGGAAATGTCATGGAAGGATGACCCGGACCGGCCAAGCGAGAACTGCTCGGACTCGTCAAGTGATGACGGCAAGCAGCGTCGGCCCAGCAGAGCCATTCCTGACGAGGTGAGTAGCACACGTCTTGTTCACTCATTACCTATCCTTCTTTTGTTGGAGCAAGATGACTGAATCTAACTTGATACAACACCCCAGGAGCGAACCGAAGGTGATCTCAAGAAGCAGTATGCAGGACAGTTGTTGAAGGTCTCTCATCAGCTTTACGAATGCGAAAGATTCCAGTTCGAACTGAAAGACTTTGAGCCAGAAAGGTACACCGCCCATATGAATGATCAAGGACAGATAGATCAAGAAGAAAAGGATACAGATAGGGCGGTGTACAAGAAGTTGTACGAAGGGGAGGACGATGGGACGATTATTAACAACCTATTCGACACCATGCGAAGAACGCATGTAGCGGCTCATCCCATGATTGACTGGGAAAGCCGCCTCACGGAGCTTGTGCCATATATGGAGCCTACCCGCCCAGACGGACCCAGCCAGGACCCGTAAAGCTGAGTTATAACTTGGCTCTATTCGGAGAGGACACTCCTCGCTGGACGAGGGAGTACACCTCGACAGGATTTACAGATTTTTTCTGGAAGGACATCGTCGAGAAACGGAAATTTAGGTTTGGGGGATGCCATGAAGCTTTGGGAAACAAACAACACACTCCTTGAAGACACAGCTTACCTACTCACCAAGTAAGTAGAGGTACCCATGAAGGGTCAATCAGTCCTTACCACGCAGCCACGGAGCAACAGAGAGTCACAGAGATAGAAAAGCAACTCGCAGGCAAGTTGCAAGAAAATCGGTTGAGTTATGTATGTAGCTAGCTAGCTACCTAGTCTACTACTTCTTTAGTACTAGACCCCTCTCCATTTCAGGTCCGTTACAGGAACTGCTAATGCGAAGATGGAGAGGGGGAAAATAGAAGGGAACTCAACCACCATCTAAGTATGTTCATCTTTGTGAAACAAATATCAAGTTGTCTCCATCTCCATTATTTGCCTTCATCTCCATCTCGAGATTGTAACCCTCAAACTCAAATTTCACCACAGCAAACAAACACAATTATCCCGCTCGCCTCCTTGAAACGGGGCTGTCTGCTGAGTTTACTAAACAACAGACTCTGGGGGAAAAGACGAGCGGCGATACAACCTGACGACGTCGCTTAAGGGTCAAACATGATGAATTCGCTAACTTAATGTGAGTGTCAAACATAAGGCGGGGTGAGAGAGGCATCATGATTTTCCTTTTCCTCCCCCCCCCCCCCCCCCCCCCCCTTTTTTTTTTTTTTTTTTACTCTTTTAGCCTTCTTTGTCTTCTCCGTTCCTATTTCCTGGTGCTTTACCTTTTCTGCAACCAACCCTCACCAACGGTAACTCTCTTCATCACAATGCAGTGCACAATATCATAGGTATCCCACGGTCAAGACCAGACAGACGTTTAGTAGCCAAATATTTCTTGCTTCCCCGTCCATACCTAGTGTAGGACATGATGTGAAGGTGAAGGGGAAGCTGAAAATGAAGTCGTCCATCAATCACTCCTCGCGATCTTCTAAGCTTCCAGCCAATTCTTTCCCTCTACACATATCTGCCCGCCCGCTCGTGTACATACCTTTATTTACCATGCTTCAAGTTGCTTTCTTGTACATATATGTGCGTCGTAGATGTCAATCTGCGTACTTACCTGACTCTGCACTCAGTTTTGCTTTTACATTAGGTCAGTACACTGTACACTACATTCCATAATGTGCTTGCGTCCATTCATTCCTGTTTGCTGCTGCTGCTGCTGCTGCTATGTTAAAACATGTGAATCGCATGCGCCTGCCTCCCTCCCTGTGTTTCTGTCGGTGGCTGTCAACCGCAAGCAACGCGCATTAATCTGTCAATCTGTTAAGAAGCAAGGAAGCAGGGAACCAAGCAAGTAGAGAAGCAGGGAAGAAAAAAAAAAAAAAAAAAAAAAGGTCGTCATCGCCATGTTTCCTGCTCCTGCTGGTCAAAGATGTCGTGCGTTTATGTTGGCGCCCCAGACACTCGACGTTCGTTCGTTCAGCCATTGAGCATTATAGAGTCGGAACCGTAGTACACTAGAACCATTGGGTGTCCTTCCCTTTTTAGTATTATTGTTTTTGTTCTTGATGATGTGCAGTTTCTGATGTCGTACAGCTTTTGATGTTGTGCAGGATTCTTTTTTTTTTTCTTTTTTTTTTTTTTTTTTTTTTTTTCTTTCTCCTTGTTTTGTCCCAATATTTTTCCTGATACTCGAAATTGGTTAAAGTGTGGGTGGGGTTCGGGAGGGCGAAAGATATTTCCCAAAGAAGGAAGAACATCGATCGACCGATCGATCGAACCGCGAAGCCAAGAAAGAACGAACGAATGGAACGTGCGGCAAAGAAGGCCTAGCAGAAACGAAACTTCAAGCCAGAAATTGCTGATGAAATTCGTGGGAGAACACGAAAAAGAAAAAAAAAAAAATACAAAAAAAAATGGATGTCAAGTCAACAAACTTCCCTATCTTTCTTTCTTACTTTTTTTTTTTTTCGTTATTTTCTTATCTTTCCTAGAGACGAACCGACGGATCGAGAGAAACCTTAACACAAATGACATCTGGTCCGGAAAAAGAAACTCCCGAAAGGATTAATAGGAGCCCAAAAGGCCGACTTCCTTCCTTCCTTCCTTCCTGCCTGCGGCATCGCGGCAACGGCAATGCGAATGCGGGTAGGGCTGAATTTTCCTTTTTGCACTGAGTGATCCACGATCCAACTAGATTTCCCGCTCCCGCTTCACCTTTCCTCCTTTGGTATTTCGAGGTGGAAATCAACGGTTCTGGGTACTATGCTGGGTAGTGTGTGTATAGTGTAGTGTAGACACTCTCGGAAACAGGTAAAGCTTGGTGGTCTGATCACCGAGCCTTCCCTGTCTTGGACAAATCCATCCGTTTTCTTAGTCAGACTTCGGATGATATGCTGATGGTCTGTCCGGGAACGGATTAGATCACGCAGGCCGGGAGGTGGTCTTTCTTCATTTGACAATAAGACAATGTGGCTTTTGAAATGGGGAACGTTCGCTATATCATACAAGTGAATGGACGGTTAAACCTTTCCTGCTCTGTTTTTTCCCCGCGAAACCAACCCTCCCCCATATGTGGCCTTGCCCTCTCACCCATACTGTCACCCACCATACATAGTATACACGTTCGAAGGATCAAGGCCCAAGGGAGAAAAATACTCCTTCTCTCTTCTCTTGAAGCCTGTCAAACGTAGCCAAGAGTCGCCACAAAACACTAGGAGCCGAATCGAACGGGGTGCAGGACAGCGGAGAATGAGGTTGAAGCGGCGAAAGCAGACAGTTTCTTGTCATACTAAAGAAGCCACGCCATACTCGTTCCATGGCAGAGCCAAAGACTAGAACAAAACTGAACAAGTTTGTTGACGCAGTCCGATTCGTAAACGTAGAGCCTTCATGGGTCGTAACTTCGTGCCACGCCCCCCTGACATGAACCTTGTTTCACCAAAGCAAACGTCGAGAACCGCTCCTGGCCAGGAAACGCAGAAAATGCGAGCCGCCAAGTTTACCACCAAGCCGACGCCACCGTCTCATACACAAATAAGCCTCCCATTTACCCCGTGACATTGCCATTTGTACATCACACCGTTACCGATCCCCGCCCCGTTGCGAATGCTCGCATGTACCGCCCTTCACGGGCCCAAATGCTCACTGATCTCCAGGGCAAATCGACCGTTGCTGCCCCCAACACAACAAATCAAGTAGTTTAACCGATTAACCCTGCCACCCACGGACGGCAGAGTTGGGATATAAGAGGGTATGAGATGAATTCCGTGGAACCTGAAACAAGGGGGAAAGGACCGTCAAGAAGTTGTAAAAAAAGAGATGAGAAACAGTATCAAACACCCCAACCGAACGCCAAGCTGGCATAACCCTCGTACGCAACGACGAGGGGCACCCTAACGATGTCGAATCGGGGAAATGACACTTCATGAATGCATTAATGCTGGGTATTATCGCGCAAGCTGAAGTCATGAAAAGAGCCGCCCTGAATATAACTATGCCTGATGACCGGCATGCTGCTGCAGACCAGGCTGAGGCATGTATTGGCCACCTCTTTGTTGTTGTACGTAGTTTGTATACGCCAGTGCTTGCGCTTGCTGGGCATCCATTGCGCCGACAGCCGGCATGTAGTTGGGAGGCATGTGTCCTTGGGGCGGCATGCCAGGTCGGCCTTGCTGGGGAGGCAGGTGGGCGCTCGAGGGCTCTTCGGGCGAGTCAACCGCATTAGAGTCGTCCACGCCGTTCTCGGCAGACGCGGGCTCGGGGGCGTTTAGGCATGCCTAGAGAGAAGGTCAGAAAAGTGCAATGCGAACCAAAAGGCGCCTTTTAGCCCATACCTGAATCAAGTTCTTTCCCTCGGCCTTGGTGACGAGAGGCTGCAACTTGGGAGTTGTGAAGGTGTAGACCAGGCCGGTTTCGGAAACAACGAGTAGCAGTACTTGGGTTCCTGTCAATACGGAAAGCTCGTAGGCCTAAAGCAGCAAGAACAAGGTTAGTGACATGTTGCTTGGATACACAGAATACACGGACAATGGACCGCCGGCGCCAGCACGCATGTCCAGATTTGCCGTCGTCATGACAGCTTGTTTTCTGAGCCTGAAACGTACCTTCTTCATGATACCAGCCTTGCGCTTGGAAAAGGTAATGTGGCGACGCGACTTGTCGCTGATGAACTTGATTTCGATTTTGCGGCGCTCGCGGCCGCCCTTGTCATCGTCATCATCATCGTCATCGGCCGTGGCCGGGCGGGCGCGCTTGACACCGCGGGGTTCGTTGTTGTTGACATTGCCATTGCCCACGGCATGCGCGTCGTCAAGCTCGGTGGGCGAGGTCTGTTCGTGCTGATCGGTGATGTCGGCCATTTTGGGATGTGAGGTTCCAGGTACCACGAAGATGCTGAAAAAGGTAGAATTGGTGGAGATGCTGTTTTGAGCGTTGTGCCGATGGCCTAGGCTTGATCTGGAGTGTGCGGAGAGGCTGCCTTTTGTCGCGGAAACCTGGTTGGGCGCTGCACTGTATTGAGTCTGTGTGTGCCGACGGCGGAAGGAAGCGAGGAATCACGTTTTTGATTTTTATTTGCTTTTGTTTGACTCTTTCTCTTGAGCCTGGGGGGTAGGTAGGTAGGTTAGTTGCTAGGGGTGGACGGTCCAGGTATGTAAAAGGATGTAGAGTACCTAAGTATGTATGTAATCCGTACGGCGGGGAGTGTGTGCACTGGGGGGTGACTGATTGGTGGGTAGGCGGGCAGACAAGGGCCACCGCCGATAATCGACCTGCAGTGAGAAAGAGGTGGGTGAGCAGCAGTGCGAGACACACAGTGAACTAGTTGAAGTGAGTCTTGGGCCTGGGATCCAATGGTGAAGCTCGAGGCTGGGCACCCTGACCAAGCTGGAAGCTTTGTGCAGTAGTGAGGTGTTACTCCAGCTGTTGGAGGGTAATTGACCGTGGGTATTCGGTATAAGGCTCGGTGGGAAGGGACGGGCGGATGACTGCCTGGGCTGGACTGGAGCCGGCCGGGCATTAAAGAAACGGGACTTGTGATGGGGCGTGTGGAAGGTGAGGCGGCACCTCAGGGAGAAGTGGAAGCTCTCTCAAACCGAGGAAGTGGAAAGCGGCTGAAAAAGAGAAGGCAGATTGTTGCTGCGTGTGTATGTATGTAGGTAGGTACCGTACCTGTCAAATTGCAGTGTAATTGCACGTTTTGGGTGGTTTTGGGTTTCCTTCTGCCCCTGTTGAGGAAGCGGAGCAGATGTCAGTCAGTCGGTTGCAGCTTGACAATCTTGCCTGGAAAGGGCTTGGGCGACTGCGGAGTGATTGAAAAGAGGATAGCGAAACCTGGTGCCACCGTCCACTTTCACCACAGCACAGGCGCTACGGGCCACGGTTGAAAAAAACAAAAAAAAACAAAAGGGAATGAGATGACAAGGAAGGAGGGAGGGAGGGAGGAAAGCGATTAGTACTGACAGTCAACGGTCGTATCTGTGGATTCCTTCAAACTGAATCTGTTCTGTTCTTCTTCTGCACTTGCATACACTGCACTGCAAGGTCGGAGGAGGTTGGTTAGTTGCTTGGTGCTTCAAGAGAGAAGTTGCCATGTCCGAGAGAGGAAAGGTGGGAGCGGTAGGGTATTAGGTAGATGTACCTGGCCCACGCACGTGCCAGCATAAGGCCAAGGTACTTGCGTGTAATTGTTCTCGCACGGACCTCTACTCAGCAATGGAGCCATGGAATTCCACTTGACTTGAACGGGGACTGCCTGCTGGTAAAAGAGGCTCCATTTTAGCAAACTGGAACAAAATGCCCACTGTGATGGATGGAAGAGAATGAAGCACTCGCACACAACACAACTGACACTGGAGCTGCACAGATAGACAGCAAGAATAGATCAAGTGGAAAGCTATGTTTGTTGTTGGCTTGCTGTTCCCGGCCAACATCCACCACCACCACCCATCCACCACCTTCAAACGCCAGACTTCCCCTTTTCATTACATATGCTAGGCCCCATTTCCTATCTCACCTTTTCCACACGGGCATGCAGCCCACTCACCCTCGACGGGAATCCTCGATAATCCCGTCCATCACCTGCCCTGTGCCCCTCACCGAACTTGTGATGACCAGGATAAGGTAATTTGCCTACCTACCTACTATGTATGTAGAACCTACAATAGTGGCTGCAGAAATAACTAGATATGTACTGTCACGTTCCGAGGCGCACGAAACAAGAGTACTTTGCAGTGGTGAAACCAATGTTAGGGGACATTGACATATGTAGAAGAAGAGGTGGAGGAGGAGACCCATCATCATAGCGGCACTGAGAGAGGAGATTATTACAGACCGGTTTTGTTTTGGTCCTTGTACCTTCTCTCTCACCCAGCAGCAAAGGCATGTACGTGGTATCATGAGAAGTGGACTTAAAGGTCCCCGTGTCCGTGTCTCTGGAATGAACGCCCTGCCGTGCTTACCTGCGGGTTGCGCTATCGGTAGTATGGCGTGGGTCAAGACCGAACCGAACATGGAGGTGTTTGTACGAATCGAATGAGACTCCTCCAACGGCGCCGCCCCGCTTCAACCCGCCGTTCCCCTGAGCATCGGAACGGAGGCCCTGTTCGTGCTTCGTGCAGCCAGAGCCAGAAAGGTTAGTTTCCGAAAGCTTCCCCAAAGCACACAAGGCACAAGTTCGTGGTTGAAAGGTCCCTTTTTTCTCGGCGATTATGGCTCTGTCGACCGGCGGCGCGGCCATGTTCTCAAGTCCACTGTGTAGCTTTCTTGGGAATTTCTTAGTTTGTCTTTGGGGTCCAGGAGCCAGGGTTTCGTCAGCAGGGGCAACGTCGAGGGCCGGGCGGTCGGTGCTCTGTTCCTGTTACTAGTACCTGCCCACTTACGCGTCTCACGCACAGTGCATACCAGATGAAGACCGACTGTGACCGAGTTGCTGTTTGAGATCCGGGTTTGGAGCGGACGGAAGATGCTGGGTGGGCGGTGCAGTAACGCCTGGACTTGTTGATATTTCCGAGCCTTTTACGGGCAATTTTGCTGCTTCCCGAGTGATCAGCCTCCAAAGCCGCGGATGTTTAATTTTATCAGCCCCAGCCTCCGTCTTGTCTCTCTTGAAGCTCGCAGCGGGGAAAATCTTACAGGGTATCGAAAGGAAAGACCACGAAACGCTCAGTGCCTTTCATGGTCTTGGTTCCGTAGGGCAACCGGGCAACTCGGCTGCTAAAAACGCTTCGCACGTACTACATACTATGTACAAGGCATGCCACTCCAGGGAGGGATTGGCGTATTGTACCCGGACGGACAACGGCGGCGGCGGCGGCGGCGGCGGGGGTATCCGGTCAACGGACTCGCCTGATTTTCTGTTTTATTTCTTTTTTTTTTTTTTTTCTTTTTTCTTTCTCCCTCACCAGCCTCATTGTTCTATACTACTTCTTATTTTCGAAGGCTGAGACATAAACCCGTTGTGCGCGGATCACTCAAAGAGTGGAAAACGAAATGACAGGAGTCTGAGAACAATGAGAAGCGAGAGTCAACAGTGCTTTCGCGTAAGGCATCCGGCAGGACACTTGCATCTGGGATAGCAATCTCAATGGTCTGCAGAGTTCGCCGACAGCCCAGCCCAGATTGCAGCCAGCCCATCTCTTCTCCCCAATGCTTCCCAGACCTGCCCAGGACCTGGGATAGGCCAGCCCACACCACCTCCAAGGGGTCTCAAAGGGCCCGGAACCACATAGGGGTCCGTGACGTCCAATGAGTCTGTTGCCGAGTGTGGTTTGACAGATATCTGCCCTTTATCTTTGTTCTTTCTTCTTTTCTTTTTCGTCTTTATTTGGGTAACATATACAGTTCGTCGTCGAAACTGAGACATCGAACTATCGAACCAGATGGATGATGCATGTGTGGGGAGGTCACCGGTCTGGTGGTGGTGTTCGTCAAGATCTGTTAATTACCCGCTGTCAGTGCCTTTGTGAAGAGGGTAGAATTATTCCACGATCTCGATTGGATTGTCGATACCCCGTACTTGCGCATGCTCCCTAAAGATTATCCCGCCCGCAATATCGAGTCGTTCTGCAGCCCTTTGCTACCGGCAAAGATGTGGAAGTCCCTTATTTTTCGAGGCAGAGGCAGAAAGACAAGATGGGAACCTTGCCTATCATGGACAGCCGCAGAACGATTTCAGTAGCACTGGACGTTTCCGTCCACCCGCTTTGGTTTGACTCTTCCAATCTCTCGGAACGATTATCATGATCCACGAAACGCCTCGGTATGCAGCATCCTCAACGCTCGGACAATTCATGTACATAGAACGTCCATTTGAGACACTAGTAAAAGCAGTGCGGGTCCCGTCACCGTAACGGCCAGCGTACCTTGATGATCAGACATGGTACCTGTTGTGTAGTATGCAGGTGTTATTCTGCCATCTCGAAGCCATCCTACGCAAAGAGAACACTATGCTACGTTTACCCGTGCCATTGATGGGGCCGGCTAGGCACGGGACCAGGGGAATACCAGGGGAGTTTTGCTTGTCTGGGTTGGCGAGAGCGAGCGAGCGAGAGAGTAATCGGCCCCGAGAAGCGTTTTTATGGAGAGGCTAGGTAGCAAATGGGTGAAATTCATGATTGTGTCAGTCCGGAATGACGCCTCCCCCCAATTGCGAGAGATAGGGGGACGCGGAGGGATGGATGGGCTGGAAGAGCTTTGTGTGTGTGTTGCTGGGTCGGCCGTGTGCCGGTGGAGCTTGCCCACGAACTGCGCTGGACTTTTGTTTCCACTGTGCCGCTCAACTTCAATCTCCATGTTGCCCACTGGTGCCCCACCCCCTGGGACGCCCGGGGCGAGAGGCTCGCGCGCACAGTGGTCGAAGATTGGAGAAGTCCCAGGCATAGTGCCTGCAAGGATGGGAGAAGCGGGGGGGTGCGCGATAGCGCGTGATTGCGTGTGAGGAGGATTTGTGGGTTCCGACGACAGTGGGAGGGAGAAGAACTGGGGTCGACAATGTAACCTCACCCTTGGACCTACCTGACTGAAGAGAGAGTTTGCCCTGACAAGCTTTCGAGCAAGCAATATTTGGGGCCGTGTTGGGATGAGTTGTGGAGAGGCTCCAAGGGATGCAGAGTTTAATGAGAGGATGAAATGATGGATAGGCGGGATTCGGCTGTGTGCCATGGCCAATAATCGATTTCGCGGGCAAGCTTGACAAGTTCCTCGGATAGGAAAGGTGTGGGATGGCATGCAGCAGTGCTACTATGCTAGGCTGAAGGATGGGACGAGGGATGAGGTGCCCGGAAAGTAACGGCAGTTCAGGAACAGGCAACTGACAGACGGCAAAGTGCGAAGATGGAAAAAGTGGACGATGCCATCATCAGTTCCTTCCGATTCCCGTCCCATTGTCAAATCATGAACTTTACTTTGAGCAAGTAATTAGATTGAATCAGAGGAATGAATCGGTGGCACTTGCACGAGACAAGACACAGCTGCAAGCAATGAAGGACTGGACAATGAAAAGTGCGGAGGAAAGTGGTCGAAAACGGGCAAGTGGGTTGCTGAAAACAGGAAATGAGCAGCAGCTTCTTCTTACGGAATGACGGCTACTTTTGATTGGCTAGCGGGTCAAAGCCACGGCCTGGAACGGAGTGGGGCCCCCCTTGTCTCCGCGTCGAGGTGGGCAACCTTCAGGCAATTGAATTGAGTTTTTCCAGGCAGGCAGCAGGTACACTTTTTGTCACTTGTCCGGATCGGACAGACTTGCCCCGTCTCGTCCTCGCTTGCCAGGGGCCAGTCTCCCAATGCCCGGAAGGATGGAATCATGCCTTGGTAGGTTGCTGACCAGACTCTACCCGCGCCGCTATGAAGCCATTGTGACAACCGACGCCATCGGACGGGCTCTGGCAGCAGCAGCAGCAGCAGCACAACAGATTTCCCCTTTGGGTCAAATCATGACAAAATTCAGTGTGCCACCATCACAAGCCCAGGTGGTGAAAATGCCGGCAAAAAAACACAATGACCGAATTGTCTGGGGATACTCCGCAAAGCTGATGGAATAGCCGAGTCGATAGTGTACATAGTGTACACAACACACACAATGACTTTTGCGTCAAAGCTGCTTACACGCTTCCCTCATATCCCATTTGGTTGCTAGGGACTGACTGGAGACCGGGCGCGCTAACAGAAGAACGAAACCCGATCATTCGACCGGACGTTGATGGCCCGCGTCGATGCAGCACCCAGCGCCGAACAAGTTGCATCGGACGGGAGTCTTTTGCCGATGACTTTGACCCACTGAAGGCCGATGCGAGTCGATGCCCTTTGAAGCTGAAAGTTGGCGGTCAAGTATCTCCAGCAAATCAACAAGACGAGTGTTCTACACCTGTCTTGATGGCTACATATTGCTGACTGTTACCTACGCCTGCCAGAGCCTCGTGAGCAAAACAAAACCCACACACAACAAGACATCAACTGGAGTCGTCGATTCAGCTCACAGTTGTTCTGAGAACAGCCAATGTAAACTCCGACGTGTCCGGTTGCTGATCTTTGACCGAGGCACAGAATCAAAGAAAAGCCCCGTCATGTCTTGCGGCTGCGGCGTTCGGAGGGTTATCGCAATGACTCTGCACCAATCAGCGCAACCACTTAAAGCCAGTCTCAACTGAGGACGAGAAGCATGGCGGACAAAGTCAGAGAGCAACCCGTACCGAGATCCAAAGACATGGTGAAATGCCAACCGGTCAGAGCTAAGGCTGGTAGTGATATGCCATCTACTCGGAGCTCGAGTCAAGAGTCTTTCTTGTGAGAGCGGTGTCGTCGCGGCGGTGCAGTTTCCGTGTAACTGTGACCCTTGGGTCCCAAGGTGTACAATCCAGAGTACGGATCGTAGCAGTATCTCGCCCAGCTGCTACACAGCAAGGTCGGCGGTAGTTATATATGTGTGTGTGTGTGTGTGTGTGTGTTCGCATGAATGACGCTGTTGTCGAGACCGTCGCCACCAAATGTCCAAGTGCAACCTGCAAAACAGAGAAAGCTGGCGGTCAGTCAAGCTCGGGTTTTCAGGTCTGTGCACTTGAGCGTCTGCGTTTGGCGGCGTTTCGAACAGGGCGAAGAGTTTGTGAAAGTGTCGACAATGAATGGTAAAAAGAACCAAAAGAAGAGAGACGGACCTTCTGAGGTTTTGAAAGGGATGAAGCAAGCCTCCTGTTTGATGTTGACCTTCTTGTCGTTCGATTTCTGATGGTCCACCAGTCCCGTCCCCAGATTGGTTGGTGACATTTGTTCTCATCCAGATTTGTCGCCCTCGGCATCGTCTCTAAGCCTCTTTTCAGAGGCAGCACAGGGCGCGTAGAGGCACGTGTCTTGACAAAATCCCTGATTTCGTGGGCTTTGGGACGAGTCCCCTAACCGCCGCGAGGCTTGGCAATGACCGTCCAACCGCCCAGGCCCCTGTGAAAGCCTGTCACCCAACGACATCTGAAACGACTCATGTCAGGAACGGGCAACTCTCCTACAAACATCTCGGTCTGAAGCATCCGATGCGAGTCGCGCAATGGTAGTGCTGCCCTGGCTTTTCATCTCCGTACAGTAACATCGTCCCCTCGTCTCTGTTTCCTGAAGCCATCGCCAAGTGGGATGCCCCCCGTCATGTGGCCAGTCTTCGCCCGTGTCTGGACTCTGGAACGTCTCTACTCTCTCTCCTTGTCTTCTTGATCGTATCGGCTTTTTGCCCTGGCTGGTCGGCTGTGCCCAGTTCGAATTGCTTGTTGCGTGCCCTTTTCCGAGTTTTCCATTACTTGTCGTCTCGGCGGGTTGCTATGTAGTCCGACCTCTCCTTTCGATGTCATGATCGGGTAAACACCAAAAGAATATACCATTTTCAGTCCATCCTTCGCTTCTTTTTGCCTCTTGGCACCCTCTTCCATCCGCGATTGAAATTGCAGGTCGATTTCACCGGTATCTTTCGCTCCTTAATACTCCGTACAGTCTCTCACCACTACGAAGACGCCGGTCGTCCATTTCCATATTGAAAACTACAAGAAAACGCTCTGTCGAGCCCGTAGACGAACATCATCTCGGACTGAGTCAAAGGGGGCAGCCGAGTCTTTCAAGTCGAGGCTGCTCATCAACAACAACAGAAACACGGGACAACACCTTCAAGAAATACAATGAGTAAAGTGCTTCTGGCCTATGTGGTCGCCGATGGCCTCTTCCTTCTGATGGGCATCTTCATGATCGCCTTCTCCGTCATTGTTCAGAACATCCAGTTTGAGGTCCCTACAGAAGGACATCAAGCAGCAAGGAATCTTTTGTACCAGAGGTTTCCTCTCACAGGTGGGTGACTGGAAGTCGACACGTTGCTTGACCTATGGTTCACATCGCTGACGGAACAAACCCTGATATAGCCGGTATCGTGAACGCCGTCTTCATCTTTGTCACTTTCCTCTTCACCATTCCCGGTATCATTACCCCCGCACGAGGATGGCTCAAGTTGGGCGGCTGGATGACCACCGTCTGCGGTATCTTCAGCCTCATCATCGGTCTCGACCTCTGGATCATGACCCTCAAGACCAAGGCGGATTTTGCTCCCTTTTATTTCAGCCAACCTCCTGAGATCCAGGAGCTTATGCAGTCAGCTGTATGTCGTCCATCCCATCTCCCCACCTGTAGCTGCACTTATGCTAACAAGAACTCCAGTTCAAATGCTGCGGCTACTTCAATAGCACCTCCCCCGCCTTCATCACCGACGACATCTGCTCCAGCCCAGCTGCCGCCGCGCTCATGCGCCCATGTGCGACCCCCATCACCTCCTTCGCCAACGTCCTGATCGACAACATCTTTACTGCGGTTTTCGGCATGGTTGGTATTGACGTGGTCCTTATCATGGCGACCGCTTGTCTGCTGAAGGAGCGCAGGGAGAGGGAGCGCTTCCGTCACATCGACGAGAAGAGTGGTGCTATTGGATTCTGAAGAGGGTTACGCAAGCGAGGGAAGGACGACATATGAATAACAGCATACACGAATTTGCCCTGCGAGCGCGACGATGCTGGCTTGTTGACCCCTCTTATGATGACGGACGGGAGGAAGAGCATGGAAAAGGAAGAAATCCTGACCGAGGAACTGTGAGAAAAAAAGAAAGAGTCCTGGACGGACCACACCGGAGGGAACGAACCAAACAGACTCGCAGGACGAGAGGCCGTGAGTGGAAAGGGCAGCGGGCGGTCCAAACGAAACATTATCACCACACCCAAAGCCAGTGACGCCTCGGACGCACACGACATACTTTCTCGGCTGGCTGTTGGAGGTCATCTACTCGGTGGGAGGCCTGATTAGATTGGGATACAGTACCACGGCTGGATGGCGAAAACGAGGGACATCTATCAACCTACCCCGGCTAATAAACACCACTTCATACTCGCTTCTCAACTCCACCGCTAGACAAATGATACCCATAAACCCATTAAGAACATCCATTGACTCTCTCCCTCACTCATTTACCGACTGACAAGACTACGGTCAAGAATTGACATTTGCATCACTCCACCACTACTTGGTCGTCATGGTCATGTTGTATACTAGATTCACACGTTTGGTATTCATATTCAAACATGTCCCATTTGACTATTAGTATAGGTGTTTTGTTTCGGTATTCTAGCCAGTGTTATTAGCCGAGCTGACTATCATGACATGGACTCCTATGCTCTTACCTCGTTTGATCGCTTAAGGTTTTCGCCTGTCCCTCATGAACCGGAATCGTAGACTTGGTTCTCGGGTAATCGATACCCACCAGACGTCCGGTTGGACTTGTCGTGTCTGGTCTCGCGGTATCTCTACGATTTGCGTGGTCCGTACCCCTAGATAAAAGAAGAAGAAGAAGAATACAAGAGAAAATAAAAAGAGAAAAAAAAGAAAGAAAAAAGGGTTGCCCGAACGTGCCCGAGGACAGATTCGAACGCCGTTGCTTCCAGATAAGAGGGCAGTTACGGACTGAAGTGGCGCGCTTCACCTCTGCCGACTACGCTGTCTTACCCACGGCCATGTGATGACTGTACCTTCCATACACAGACCCTAAGTACTAGGTAGGTAGGTAGCTACCTCTATGGGACTTGGTTTTGGCGTATTGTTCGCACTCTTCTCACTCCACGTCGTTTTCGAATGACACGCTTCAGTTCCTCAACGCGCCTCCTCATTAACGACAAAGGAAGCGAAACCAACCTCAAGCAATGCGGGTTGAGTAGATAGATCAAGTGCTCCTTCCACACTGAACAAGCTTCCTCAGCGTGCCTTCCAGGGTAAAAGAAGGCAGAACTACTCCTCATAAAAGAGGAAAATAGAAAAAAAAGACATACAACACCAGGTTATTCGCCGGTCGTCACCGATCCGACTACTAGTCTGGCGGTCACCGGCTTATCTAGGGGAGAGCGGACGGGATCCCGAGTTTTTGCCCTGGTGCCTATGGTCGTATGTGTGTGAATTGCTGTTGAGTGTTGCCGGCCGTGGGAAAGGGAGTGGTGAGGTAGGTTATATACCCGAGGTATCCATCCCCGTCACAGGTGCATCGACAAGAAGAACAAACGTTTTCCAGACAACGAGGAAGAGAAGCACAACACAGGGAGGTTTCAAAATAGCTTCTTGCCAATGATTACTTGGGTAAGTTGAGGGATTTCCGTGTACCCGTCCGCATTCATCCATCAGTCCTGGCCTTGGATGTATGATGACGGAAATGTCTTCAGGCGGACATGCTGATGCATAGAATGGTTATTGATGGCCCCTCTCCAGACTTTAACTGCATGATTAGATAGAATGGAGGCTCATGCTTGCAACCTGCATCCAGAAGCGTTAATATACAAGATAGAGAAAAGCGAGATGATGTGGATATTATCGGCTGCAGATTTACCTGCATCCTTTTCCAGTTGTTGCCGAGTCACTGTTTTCGAGACGTCCTGGCCACTTGATTCCAGAACACCAAACTAGATTTCCTGCGCCTTACTCCGCACGATGAATTACCATCTTGATTCTGAACCTTAGCACAAGCATCATCCGTTTGCTTCGAGCCGTTGGCGTAAAACACCTTTCTTGGGTCTGTAAGTGCCCGCAACCTTCGGAAAGCGGCAAACACAAGAAAAGCTGACCAACAAGGAAAAGAGGAACATGTTACATAGCATCCTTTTCCCTCGCGTTTGTGTCAACCATGACGTCTCTTCCAGCTCCCAATATTGGTAGCGGTAGCGTTAGTGGTGCCAACGGCCATAGACATCGCCCAGTCGACAATACCTCTAACAGCAATGACCATGGCTTGCAGCCGCCGCGTGACCTGTGTCTGTCCGAGCCGCCCATCTCGCCGGCTGTGACTACTGGGACAGCATCGTCTGGAAACTTTACCGACATCCATATGCGGCAGCTGATCCGACCGAAAAGGTTTCGAGTGCTCTCGAACGCCTCAAGCATCCTCAGCGATATATTCAACCATCCAGACGCCCATGAAGACGAGCTAAAAACCAAGATTAAGGACGCAAACGACCGCGACCGTGAAGCTCTCTTCAGGATGAATGAGTCTCTTCGGAGCACGCCGCCCCCTCCTCCTCCTCCTCCTCCTCCCGAGCCTTTGCCCACCCAGAAAGACCAAGGCAATGCTGACGATAAGAAACATCGTGGTGGGCTTTGGAGACTGTTCAAGAGGAAGTCCTCCAAATCCACAAAGAAAAGGGCACCGCCCAAGATTGTGGTACCAGAACGCCCAGCTGCAGGTAGAGCCACTACAACCACACATATTACGGAAGACGGCCATCGACAAACTGTTATTTCCATTCCCGCCCAGCGCACGTTCAACCTGGGCCCAGTCCCCAGGTCGCCTGGCTTTGGTTTTTTGTCACCCAAATCCCCCATCACTGGGACTCCCATCAGACCGCCTAGGCCCAGCATTGGTCTAGAGACTTTAGTGGAGCAACAAGAGTCAAACGAGCGACAAATCCCAGTCCTGGCCAACACACCTGTCATACCTCCGATTAACGACGGGGTGGGCATATCACCTCTGCTTCCCGCAGAGGGATTCAACCGCCTTCAGCGGGTGTCGGGCTTTATAGCCCCATCGGCCGAGCCACTGCCTCCTCAAACCCAGAAAGCTTCGGTTGATGTTGATGATGGCCCTGATAGTTCAAGCTCGCCAAAGCTGACATCTTGTCAAGACCATACTCTACCCAAGTTTTTCTCGCCGACTAGCTCTTTTCATTTGAGCGTCTGCCTGTCGACGGCACAGTCTAGCCTCGATCGTCGGTCTAAGATGAGTTTCGGATTCAAGCTGCCTGACCACCCAGATCGTACCGAAGAATCTTTGGATAGGGAAGTTGGCAGTGGTGAGATTTTGGCAGAAGTTTCTGAGCCATCGTCATCCGATATCTCCCATCACAGGCTGGATACCACTACTGGGAGAGGCAGTGTTGGATCAGCGGATGTAAGCTCATTTTCGTGGGTGGCTACTCCTGCTGACAAACTCGGAGCGTTGCCGGACCACCAATTGAAACCACAACCAAGTCTCTGGTCCAACAAAAGCTTCACGAAGAGAAAGCCGCGAAAGCGAAATGATTCTCTCGATGGCGAAAGTGTCAAGACGGATGGGAACCAGTCGGCAGCGTTCCACACTTCGCCTGATCTGCCGGCAGAGTACTCGACCGAGCCTGATGCAGAGGCGTTGAGCTCGGCGCTCGGAAAGGTCGAGGCTGTACAGATACCACCGCTACGCTTCTCAACGGTGATGATCGTAGCTGACCTGAATCCCTTGTCATGCAGGAGCAGCATTAGCTTGGGACCGTCGCAGCCAGAAGGGACGAATCGACAAGATGGCGAACTTGAACAGGCGTCAGATATTGTCGTGACAGATTCTTTTCAGGCACCCAGTTCAGTCGTCGACTCAAAGACTCCACAGACAACTCCTCTGCCAGCACCTTCCAACAATCTGAACAAGTCCCTCCAGCTAAGAAGGACCAGCCAAATCATCTGTCCACCCTTACGGCTCTCCTCCTCCTCCGACTATCACTTCAGTAAAAGAGGCGTTCCATGCTCCGGCTCTCATATCGATCTCCTGCAGCAATGCGAGGAGTTCCGTCACTCCAAGAAAAAGGAACTCGATATCCTCCGCAACCGACTTCGTCAGCTGGAAAACAGAAACAGTTGGTTGCTGACCGCCGTGACGAAGCAACTTCCTGGCGGGTACGAGTATCAAGTCGACGACTATGATGATATGGAGGAGAGGGGTCGACACCACCAGCACAACATTATTACAACCAGCACAGTCTCGACCGGCAATCGCGGGTCAATGACCTCTCAACACACCTTCGGCAACACCACCATCAACGACAGTGTCACCGGCACCACCGGCTTTAGTAGCAGTAATCTGACGACAGGATCACGACTGCCATCGCCCGCACAGCACTTGCAACATCCCCGCTCCAACGCGAGCCCTGCTACGACTAGCAATTCCAGCAGCAGCACCAGCAGTAGCAGCACCAATACCTCCTTGTCCGCTCAGCCAACGCTCACACCGGTACCAAGCCCAACACCGCATTCGAAGCCGACACTTGTCACTCGCTCGAACAATACCTGCAGCACGATTACCAGTGGCGGCGGTCGGGCGTTCCCGTTGGTGACGAGTCACAAGGATACAAGCACCGCTCGCAGTACATACACAGCCATATCGCAACCAACACAACCCCCTCCTGTTCCTCTTCCCGCCCCTCGTCGCGCACGAAGTCTACCCCGCGATCCTCGACTTGGTTCGTTTTCCTCCCGATCCCGATCCGTGGACAACAAGCACGACTACAGACACAATCGTACTGATAATAGCCACGCTCACACCAGCGGTCCCGCCAACTCCTGCTCAATAAGCGATGGGATCGACGGTGACAAGAAAATGGCAAACGGTGTCAACAATGGTAACGGCAGTGAAAGTGGCAGTGGCAGTGGCAGCAGAAGCACAAGCGCCTCCCGAGGCCCCGCGCCCTTCCCTCCATCCTTGACCTACAACGGCCTTCTCCCCGACACTGCAGCGCGAAGACGAGAGAAGAGAGAATACAGAAAGAAGCAAGAAGAGATTATGAGGCGGCTCGCCGATACTCCTCTCCGCGGGGTTCAGCAAACGATGACTCTACATGCTTCGTCTTCCTCGTCCTCTTTAGGAGCGGTGGTACGTCAACAACAAGGAAAACCCTCGGGTGCTTCCATTTCTTTCACTTCGGCGAATTCGACAGCTTTGTATAATGGGAGTTCCTCTGGTTCTGGTTACGACAGTGACCAGGGATATAGAGGACACAATGGAAACAGCAGACACCATGTCCATGATGGCCGCGATCCGTTGACGAGGCTACGGGACTTGAGGGAAAATGTGGGAATGGCGATTAGTGGAATTGGAATTGGACTGGCGGTTACTAGCGATGAGGATGGGTATATTTATGATGGCCATGGTGTTTCCTACCAGTACCACGAGGATGATGCCCTTGGATATGACAGTAACGTATCTGGGTATGATGCTTACAGACACGATAGTTACGGTGGCTATGATGGGGATGGTTATGGGGCCGCTTCTGGTGATTTGGGACATGAGGCGGGTCGAGGAGAAGAGGAAGCGCAGGACGGAAGGGATGCAAAAGCAGAGAGACAATACACCCTCTCGAACTCCTCTAGCCTCTCCAGGCACCACTACCACCACCACCACTATTACCACCGGAACCGAGACCAACGCAACAATTCCCCACCACCGTTTTCGCTGCCCTCGTGGCCATCACTACCCTCGCTTCCCTCATTACCCTCGTTATCTGGCCCAAGTCGCTCTAGTTTGGAAACGGAAGAATGGTTCCCTTCCATTTATCAAGCTCACACTCAACAAACAGAAAATCAGTCGGAGGACACATCCAGTGACTATGAACCCGCCAACAGCGACAACACAACGAATACCCAAAGATCCAAACGAGCCCTCAGGAGAAAAACGACCATTGTCGCGTCAAACGGTACCGAAGGAAACACTAACCGAAACGGATGGGACACCCTCGAGCCGCTGATGCGTGAGTTGACCGGTAACGGCGACGGAAACGAACCCAGCGGAGCCATTGGAACCGCGGTGAGTACAAGCGGTATTGATGACGACGAGCAAAAGATCAATCGTATCGTCCATGAGGGCCATGAGGGGGAGGCTAGACAGCTGGTAGACAACAACGGCGATATCGGATTTGGTCCGATGGATGAGAAGGATTTGGAGGAGGAGACGGAAACGATGAGCAGGATAAGGGCATACCGTGCCAGTCTCTGTGCCGAGTTGCGAGCGTTGGAGGCTTCGGTCAATCTTTTGCATGAAACTAGGTAGAGATGGTATGGATTATTCGGATACGATAAAAAAACCGAATGTGGATTTGCCGTTTATTGCATGTTGGATGGTGGGTGCTTTGCTTGGATAGATACTCTGAAAGAGGCATAACGAAGTGATGGATAACATACATACATGGGAAAGGGAATAACGAAGATAGATAACTGCCCATCTTTCAGAGATTCGATTGTTCACCATGACCGGATACCAAAACAACCGAAAAGAAAAACAAATCTAATTATAACAATTATGCACTTTATCCTTCACAACGACCACTTCCCACTCTATGCTTAGGCACTTCCGTTGTTTCTTTCAACCACCTCCTCGCCCACCTCCCATCCATGTTCATACACACTGACACTCAACCGACTCAGATCTCAAGGCAAAATCTCCTCCCCCTTCCAATCCCAAATCCTTCCCCTCTGGCTCTCCTCCAGCGCCGCAACCACCCCCGCCATATTCCCCGCCGCCTCCTCCGGGCTTTCCCAAAACTTCCTCCCACTCTTCACACTACTCTCCCAAAACCCCTTACTCAAATCCGTCTTGACCGTGCCCGGGTGATACCCCACACAAATCGCTTTGTCCCCACTCCTGCTGAAAAGCTGATGATCAAACGATTTCGTCAGACTATTCACCGCCGCCTTGGAACTGCGGTACGAGTACCACCCTCCCGACTTATTATCCGACACGCTGCCCACGCGCGCCGACATGTTGATCCATGTGGCGTGGTGTTTGGGAAGCTGTCCTTTGTCTTCGTTATCTTGAAGAAGAATTTCTGTCCGCTTTCGAGGTAAAAAGGAACCGAAATGCTTCATTAGCATGAGGGGGCCCAGGCAATTCACACGGTACGTGTCCAGCGCTAGGTCGTAGTCGACTTGCGCTGCGGACTTTTCTGGGTGCAGGATCCCGGGGAGGGCGAAAGCTAGGTGCAGGTGGTGCGTCTCGGGCGGAAAGAGGGAGGAGGCCTTTTGTGCGCAGGCGAGGATGGAGTCTTCGTGGCAGACGTCGAGGGGGAGGAGGTGTAGCCGGGAGGAGACTGCGGCGGCGGATGAAAATGTGGCTGACGAAGAAGAAGAAGAAGAAGAAGTGGCAGAATCACCGGAAGAAGAAGAAGAGTCGGCGGAGCTGCTGCTGCTGCTGCTGCTGCTGTGTTCTGGCGGGGAGGGATAAGGATACGTATCGCTTGAGGAGGAATCGCTGATTTTGCTGGAAGGTGCTACGCCCGGGCCGGTAGCTTTGGCGGCGGATGATGAGGAATCGGTGGGTGGGGAAGACTGTTGAGGTTGAGGATTAGGGAACAAGTCCTTGAGTAAGGCGGCTTTAGTCTCTTCCGGGTCGCGGGTGCGGGTGGTGGCTAGGATCGGGAGGGTGGTGGTTCGGAGGAGGTGTCGGGTTAAGGCATGGCCGATGCCTCGCGAGGAAGGGCAGAGGAGAATCCAGGGTTTAGACATTTTGGGGTGTTTGAAAGAAAGGGATAATGTTAGAGTTGTTGTGGTGATGCCGCGTTCTCCTGTAAATGGTGATTGGGGATAAGGTTATGCTTTGCTCTTGGAGGAAGTTGTTTCTTTTGAGAACCTAATCTTCTAAAATATCGTGGTGTGTTTAATTGAGAAAGTCAATTGTGAAGCTGGCTGAAGAGTAGAATTTTCTTGATGAGGGAGGGTGGTGTCGTGATATTGATGACGGTCTTCACGGCCTCTCGCGGACTGACAACTATGGTACCAAGCAATGTCATCATCTATGGAGTCCTCGCCATCTTCCAAGACACTCCAATCGACCTCGATATCAATGACACATGGCCGTTTGTTGACATTGTTGTTAGTACATCGCCGTGTGCAAGTCATAAGTCACTGATCGACGTCACCAACACGGATGCGGCTCTTGCCGTCCCCAGGGTACCCAGCGATCTGGCATTCATTGGAGGACCATGTGCGATTCCAAGATGCCAAGACAAACCAGAGATCTGAAAGTAGATCTGAGAAGGTTGGAAAGCTCGGGTGGGGTTATGGTAGCAATCGATGAGAGGGAACAGATGGAACGAATAAATAATCGGGTTGGGGAGACTAAAACCGGGATACGGCTTATGGAAAGTGTTGGCACCAACCAGAACTGTAAGATTTGAGGATGAAGTAAAGTGTATTAACTGTAACAATCGTGATCCATCATCAAAGTTCTATCCTCCGCCATGAAGTAGACTAGCCCAGCCAGACTCGCGCTTCTTTACCCCCCCAAAGCTGTGATAACCCTCACCTAGACTGCATATTAATCGTACATGGGTCTTTCTAACCCTCTGTCCGTGGTCCTCGTTATCCTTCGTTTCAGCCTCGTTTCAACCCTTCAGCTGTCATAGGGCTACATCCTGAAACGACGCTCCATCAGATGATTTCCCTGTCTTGGGATTCAGACTGTCGTCCTTGTCCTCGTCTTCATCTTCGCCCTCTTTGCTCTCCTCGGCATCTTCCACTGGAGAAGCAGGTCGTACTGGCAGACCTTGCTCCTCCTTTGCATGGTCAAGCACCTTTGGCTCGTCGTCTTGTATAGCCTTGTCTTCTGGTTCAGACGCTGTGTCACTCTGATCGCCTCCTTTCTCGGATCCAGTGTCATCCTCCTGCTGCACCTCTGTCGTTGTCGCCTCCACACTAGGCTCAAGTGCTACCGGCTGTAACTCCTCCTCTTGCTTCTGCTCTGGCACCAACACCGGCTCAGGCGCCGGCTCAGGCTCGGGCTCAGCAGGCGGTGGTGGTGTAGGCTTGTTCACATCAGGACTGCGTACCCCATTTGTAGGTGGCGGGCTCGTCTGTTGTTGTTGTTGTTGCTGCTGCTGCTGCTGCTGAGGGACTGGTGGCGATGGCTGCGGCGGCAATTCCTTGTGTGAAAACGCAGAAGACACACTCCTATTATGCTGCATTGGTGGGCTTCCTCCCATATCCGCCGCCGACGGTCCCATGCCAACGCGGACAGCATCCAGATAGAACTTGGTGACACCCAGGATCCTGCCGTTCCTTTCGCACGCCTCCACCCACTCGGGCCTGACCACGGGGATGTTGAGCTCGTTCGCCTTCTCCCATTGCACGCCCCGGCCCTCGGTGGTGACAAAGTGTGTCGTATCGATTCTAACGGTGTCGACCAGCTTGGCGCCAATCCGGTCGACCGAGCGGGCCAGAGACTCCCTGAGTGCGGGAGGGAGGATGCCCGTGGTGATGGTGATGCCGCTGAGGTCCGTCATCTTGTGTGTGCGGACCACGACCTTGTCGCTGGCCAGGGTGCCGGCCGTTGTGCGCAGTACCAGGTGGAATGTGTACTCGGTGTCGACAGCCAAGCCCGAAATCTTGGTCGAGTGCATGGCGGTTGGTTTGGGAATGTTGCCGGCCTTTTGGCCGTTGCGATAGAGGGCCAGGCTGATCAGGTCGGCGGTTGCGAGATCGATGGGGTCCCACTCGAGGACGACGCTGGTCTGGGTGGCATTGCGACAGCGCAGATTGGGAGCCTTGGGCTCGGCAGCACCGAGGGCGTTGAAGATCTTGTCTTGGAGGGCGCGGAAGGCGCGTTCGGCTTCGTCTTCCGAGGCAACGTTGCGGGCAACGGTGACGTCGACAATGGAGCCCGAGGAGATGTCGGGGGGCAGGAGGATGGAGGGGAACTCGATCTGGCATCAGATGGCGAGATTAGCACTTGTCTTGTTCCTTGACTTGGGGTCACTACTGGAACCAAACATACTAGTCGCTTGTCCGGAGTTAGGAGGACGGTGACGCCGGCGTCGACCTTGCCGACGGTCAGGGAGACGAGCATGATGGTTCGCGATGTGGATGTGGCCGGATTGTTGGTAGGTAGAGGTAGGTAGGTCGTCAAGCTTGGGAAGATGTGTAGTACTCTAGAGGTAGGTAGCTACAGCTTCGACCCTGGATTTCAAAGTGCTGTGTGGCCTCTTTGGAAAGCTGCAGATGATAGCTGTGCCCCGGCGAATCTCGAGTGGTGACTTGGTTGGTTGATTGTCTTTGTGATAGGTACTGGAGCTGTAGACGTAGTGTACTCGAGCCAAGGAGCAAGGGACGGGAAGCAACCAAGCTGTCGCCAAATCCCACGGGCAGGGCATTCATTGCCTAAACTGGACCTCAATTGGAGCTTCCCTGACTGCCAGCGACGGGCTGTCCAGTGCTTAACCTCCCTGGAGCAGCTCCCTTGACGGGAAATGTGGAGTCTTGGCCGGAAACGCGCACCTCGAGAGCCTGTGCTTGGTGCCAAGACTCCGATGCTTCCCCTGAATGGTTCCACTCCAACAAGGTACGTATCTTTTCGACTTCTAAAGTTCTTGGTGGTGTTTGAATATCAGGTTTGGGTGTTGTTGTGAACGGCTTCTTTGATTCCCCGAGTAAAGGTATTTTAGTGGTACTGGCTGCTTCCGATGTGCGTTACATCCTTCCGACGTCCTCTTACTGTTACTCTATATGCTGTAGAGGTAGACAGCTGGCTACAAAGAGACCCCTTGGAGAAGTCGACACTCAACTTGCGTTTGCTCTTATGAGTCTGGCAAGCGCCCACCTTCATCTGTCCCCAAGTCCTACTTCGATCCTGGATTTTGATGACGCGTCCGGAACCGTTCGGCAAGCTGTTGTACACGGGAACTGGATCCGTCTCCTTTGATAATTCCATCCTTCGCCCTTGGCTCCGAAACCCGGTTGCCGGCACGCATGTCGGTTGGTACTGTCTCTCTGGTGTTTCTATAACTTCCAGCACTTGGCTGCCCTGACCCACGTTGTTGCGGCTGATCGCTGTATCCTCTGTTTTGAGCCGACTGTTCGCCAACACGAACCCGCCTAGACTGAGCCTGCATCGGCCATTGTGGGACTTGGAGCTGTTTGATGATATGCTTCTTCATCAGTTTGTCAAGCGCGTCATGGATTTCCTGGTCGCCCATCTGGATGAACTCCTTGCCGTGTGAGATGCGAACGTGAATGGTGCCGTGAAGCACCGATGTGTCGTCGAATCCCGGCAATCGATCCCCCCACTGACCATATCCATTCGCCTTGAGAGCCTTGTGGACGGCCTCCCTCAACCTGTTCACGCACACGGTCTTCACTACGGGACGAAGGTCGGCGTCACCGTTGTAGACAAACAACCATAATGGTCGGTGCTTCTTGGAGGTGTAATGGTGGAGGAACATGTCCGTCAAAGGATGTTCTCCTACACCAAAGTACTTCATGACCGACTGTCTCGTATAGCAATGTTTCGTGGCCGTCGAGACCATGAACGGAGCATTGGCAAGATCCTGCCCTTTGACTGCCTTGACGTCGTAATAAGTTCCAATGTTAAGCGCGTCGGACAGAGCCTTGACTCTTTTCGATAGTACCGGCTCGCTATAAGGACTCCAATTCAACTGAGTGTAGCCGTATCCTTGCGCCGCATCTTCCGGAATCTTGGCCTTCATGCCCTTGCCTCGCCGTTGATCACAGCCTCTGAGCATCAGAGGGCGTAGGGGTCGCCATCTGGTCTTGATGGTCGACGCCAAATCAACAACAAGGCCAGCTGAAGTGGCACGCTTTGGAATAGAAGGCAAGGACATGGAAGATGGCCAGTCGACTGCGCTCAACTAGTGGCTTGTGGAAAGTTTGGCGCTGATGGGCGAATAATCGAACATCCGATCATGTTGACAATGGATGTGAGACACAGCCGTGGTGGGTGAGAATCAGACGTGCGGTTGCCGTTGTCACGAGTATTTTACCAGTATTACCTTACCATACTGAGCGAATTTGGTCCAAAATCAGCCACCCACATCCACGGGCATATTATGTGATAATTATGCACCTGCGGAAGTCCGCCATGACTCAACTGCACCTTTTTGCCTGCGCTTTGGACCTTTTTATTCGTCAGCACAAGGTCCGAGCCACCCCTTTTCGCCCATTTTGCCCTACAAGGAGCCCAGTCTCCCAAGTCCGTATCATGGAAAGATTCTCCACCACATTGACAATACCAAAACGCCTTGCTTTCGTTTCACGGCGGGCGTGTGAAAGACCGGTACCCAGAACCCGCCATTGCTCCAGTGCTCCAGTGCTCCAGCAAGCAGTCCTTGACCCCCAACCAAGTCCGTCATCCACTCCACGCAGCCGTTGCTGGATTTTTGTCTTTCTTCTCACATCAACACCCAATTTACACACCGCACCTACACCGGCCAGCCGACACCCGTAGTCGTCGACAACAACAGCCAACATGCCTAAGAACAAGGGAAAGGGTGGTAAGAACAGGAGAAGAGGAAAGAACGAGAACGAGTAAGGATTTTTTTTTTTGATTTTTTCCAGCTCTTTTTGCCTGGTGTTGCCCGCCCGCCGACAACGACCAAGACCCATCGCGCCGCCCCGCATCGCCGCCACTACCAAGCACCATGGCGATGCGCGCGCATACTAGCTCGTCGTCGACGGAGTCGCATACCATAGTCTTTGCTTCTTCATATGGCTAACCACTTTGAACAGTAATGAGAAGCGCGAGTTGACCTTCAAGGAGGAGGGTCAAGGTACGTGAACATCCCGGTGTGGCGAGCAAGCGATACGCACACAGCATACAGCAAAAACCTGCGACATCGACGCTCGCCCATGCCTCTCGACAACAACAGCAAACGAACAACAAGCTCACACATGTCTTTTCCTACAGAGTACGCTCAGGTCATCAAGATGCTGGGTAACGGCAGACTCGAGGCTATGGTATGTTGTCCTTTCCACCCCTCCCTCGTTCGACCTACCAACAAGCAAACACACATTCTAACTTTTTTCCCCGCTTTCAGTGCTTCGACGGTGTCAAGCGTCTCGGTCTCATCCGCGGCAAGCTTCGCAAGAAGATCTGGATCAACAACGGTGACATCATCCTTGTCTCCCTCCGTGAGTACCAGGACGAGAAGGGTGATGTTATCCTCAAGTACTCTGCCGACGAGGCCCGTTCTTTGTACGTTTTTCTTTTTTCCTTTCCGCTCTCCGTCCTGTCAACAACAGTCCTACTAACCACCTGCTTCCCCCATCAACAGGAAGGCCTACGGCGAGCTTCCCGACACCGCCAAGATCAACGAGACCGACACCTTCGGCCCCAACGAAGACGGCGACTGCGGCTTCGAGTTCGACGAGGACCGTGACTCCGAGGACGAGGAGGGCGCCGAGGCCGGTGGCAAGGCCGTTGATATCGACGACATCTAAACGTGTCGTCGCCTTCTCAACACCATATCGTCGCCTCATTCTTTTCGGCGCCTAGGAGGAAAGAGGCAACAAACACCAAATTGTTACCGAAACATGCGAAATAACGCCACCCTTTCCCAACTTCCCCTTTCTTCCTATCCACTCCCCTTTCACCTCCTTCTCTCCAAGTCGGTATCCCCAAAGGGTCTGGCCAGGAAGTTAAGGGGTCGTCCAGGAAAGTCCAAAAAAGCTGTCTTCTCTCTCAAACCATTCTGATGGTCTCTGTTTTCGGTGTGTTGGCCGTACGCAGCCAGCCCACATTTTTTTTTCAACCCATCAACCATACCGTTAACATCAGCCAGTTTGGTTCCCCGACAGTTTGGTGTGCCTGTTATTTCTTTGTTTTTCGGTACCAAGACAAGAACAAATCTTACAAACAAGATCAGGAGGAGGAAAATCGGATCCAGGTACAATGGTGGGAGGGACGTCATTTACCTGGGTTCGGTTAGCTGGTTAGCGGGACTCAAGGTCCTACAACCAGGCAGGACGAAGGAGGAAGGCTGGCAGAGTGAAAAAGTTTAAAAAAGGGGGCGAAGGACATAAAGAGCATCATCCATCCGCAACGAAAAAAAGGGATGGTTATGTGCACTCTGGGATATTAAAAGGGGTTAGGCTGTTTTTATGATAGGATGGCTTTGTCATAAACGTCTTTTATGTTCTTTTAGGGGGCTCTCTCATGTCTGGTTTCTTTTTCTTTTTTTCCCTCTCTCGAGCTAGGAAATGGTATTTTGCTATGATCACACACTACTAGGCTTCTCGGTTCACTCGTGACATGTGCACGTCGGTCACTGGAAGTACACTGTCTGGAACTTGGCTGTTTTCGGAGACCTGGCAGACAGTAATTAAGTGTGCAACAAGAAGAAGAAGAAGAAGAAGAAGAAGAAGAAGAGTCAAAGCACGGGCGTCCTTGTTCTACTCAGGCGGGCAAGACGCAACACATGTTTGCTAAACAGCACCTCTTCATCCCCTCCTCGCTCAAGTCCTCATCCGACTATGTACATATATCATTTTTCGTTCCTGTTCTGCAGAGCTCCTTGAGACCCGCCCGCACCGCCCAGCAAAAGTCTTGTAACAACATTCCATCAAACTAGACGAGAACCGCTTAAATGTCCTACTACGTACTCTTCACCATTTATGACTATCCTAGTCTAGTCCAGTCTAGTTATTCGCTTTTACCCTACATCGATAGGTAGTAAGTAGTATCTCGTTTCAGTTAGAGGTTGGGGGGGGGGGGGATATACATAGCCAGCGTACCAATATTGACATTACTGTTTTTTTTTTTTTTTTTTTTTTTTTTTTTTTTTTAAATTTTCAAAACTTACAGACATAGCTAATCAACCAACACATACAATAAACAACAACTCACTCTTAGGATATCGGAGTTCTCTCTCTCCCCTGTATTTCAAATTACATCTTGACAAGTTTATGAGTCTAGAACTAGGTAACCATAAGTGAAGTGATTACAAGTTCGTAGCTCTCAGAAAGCAGCAGCATGATCAGGGGGGGAACCGGACTCAGGGAGGACACTAACTAAGTAAAAGCGTAACCGACCGAGTATATCTCCATTTCCTCCACCACATCCAACTCACTGTCAAACAGTCCTAGTGGGTAGGTAAGTAATCTCCAGGATACATACAAATTAATGAAACCTCTTTAAGCACTCGCCGCTGTCTTCGAAGAGTATCAAGTTAACATGGGAAACAGAGAAGAAAAAGGCTACTATAGTACTACCGAAAGTGAAAAAAAAAGTATGATTTTGAATTTCTTTTTTCTTTTGTTAAACACCAGTAGTGAGGTGCGAATACTTCCAAATACGGTGAAGCTATATATATATATATATAGTATGCAACGACACTGCATCCCTTCGTTCGTTCCTTCCTTCCTTCCACCCCTCAGCTTTTCTCTTCCTCTTCCTCTTCTTCTTCTTCTTCTTCCTCCTCCTCCTACTCCAGCAACGGCCCATCCTCGCCGTCATCATCTCCTCTATGGCCAACTAGTGACCAGATGGCTGGATACCGGTGTCTCTCCAGTCTTGCTTTTCATCCCTTCTGCACTCTTCTCCTACTTGGAACCTTGTTTTTTTTCCGGTGGCTCTTCACCGTGTCATTGCTGGTATCAGGCACTTAGTCCCAATCATCACCATCATCTTCATCATCTGTTTTTTTCACTAGTGTTAGCATCATTCTCGACATGCTCTCACACTTCACAAGCCAGGGAAAATCCAGATACTCACCACTCTTGCTAACCTTCTCCTTTCTCTTCTGCAACGCCAACGCCAACGCATCCGCCATCCCACCACCGCCACCCGGCGCACCTCCAGCGGGCGGCAATCCACTGCTTGCGGGCCCACTATCGGAGCCACCAGGAATAGCAGCACCAGAACGATCGCGGATCTGGCTTCTGTCTACCTTCTTCAACGCCCTAATACCTCCCGCGGTCTTGATGCCGTCCAACACGGCCGAACGACTGCCGTCAACAGGCGGCAAGGCAGCGGCGGGCGGTGGAGGCATACCACCTGGAGGAGGGGGAGGAGGAGGGGGAGGAACACCACCCATACCACCCGGTGGAGGAGGCGGAGGCGGAGGCGGTGCGCCGCCTGATGGTGCGGGCATGGGTGGCATGGGAGGCGGCGGCGGGGGAGCATGTGCTGCGGGTAGAGGGGGCGCCGGAGGTGCTGGCGGTGCCGGTGGTGGCGGAGGAGGCGCGCTGGTTGCGGGAAGGGGAGGTGGTGGAGGCGCCTGGGTGGCCGGTAAAGGCGGCGGAGGTGGCGCGTTCGAGGTCGGGAGAGGCGGTGCTTGCGGTGGTGCCGGGCTTCTAGTCGGCAACATGGGGGGCGGCCGTGAGCTCGCAGGCGGGAGGGGAGGTGCTGGTCCCGGTGCCTTGGGAGGCAGAGGAGGTTGCGCAGCTGAATTTCTCGGGGGCGGTGGCGGAGGAACAGAGCTACGGCTAGGAGGCGGCGGGGGTACACTTCGTTGGCCTGTGAATGGCGGAGGAACGCTGAACCTCTGGCTCGGGTCCTGATCTTCGAGTGGCGTCTTCGGCGGCCGGGGAGGTGGTGGAGGTCCAGGCGCAGAGGGCGTATGTCGCGGGGGATCAGAGTGGGCAAACTTGCCAGCATCGGCGATGGGAGGAGGAACAGCAAATCTCGGCGGAGGGGCCGGTTCCTGGTGGTTTTCCGTGTCGAGCTTGCCGGATCTCCTTGCTGGAGGGGGAGGCGGGGGTACTGGCCCTCTCCTAGAAGTCGATGGAGTTATCGACTCGGAGACACTGCGCGGAGCAGCAGCAGGAGGAGGTGGTGGGGGAGCTCTCATTGCGGGGCCATTAGGAGGAGCGGATGGCGGCGGCGGCGGCGGAGGAGTGCTCGTGTGTATACCCTGCTTCGCTTGCTCCTGTTTCAAGAACTCAATGATAAAGTCCTGGTTTTCGCGGATGAAGTCGTCGTCGAGGCCTTGGGCCTTGAGGTCGTCACCGAAGTGCTCCCTCCACATGGGATCGAAAGCATCCAGAGTCGCAAACTCGGAAGGAGGTTTGTATCCGTTTATTCCATTGGTGCTTCCAGCTCTCAAACGGCCTGCCGGCGCAGCGGCGCGCGGCGACTCGGGCGGGGTGGCTGTCGGAGACGCGTGCTTATGTCCTCCAAACAGACCGCCGAAAAGACCGTGGTGCTTGTGGTGATGTGCCTGGGATGCGCCTCCGAAAGGTGTCTTGCTGGTAGCCTTGCTGGCGTTCTTTTCCCTGTCGTTCATCTTCTTGAGGAACTGCTTGGCCTCCTTCTCGTCTACGAAGGACAAGCCAGCCAAGCATTCCTCAAGCTCGAAGGTATGGAAGAAGACACGGTCCTGGTTGTAGCTCCAAGTGTCGAAGATCTCCTGGTCCCATATCACTCCCCTGTTTCCGGGCTGTCCGATGTCAGCCAAATGGTGGCCAGCCACGCAATCGTCTTTTTCACACTTACCGAGATATCAACCATCTTGATCCAATATGTGTTGCCCACGAGATCGTTCGCCAGCACGACGGCACCCTGGAGGCCGGTATAGGTCCATCTGGACGGGTTGGGGTAGGCTACATAGAGCCTGGCGACGGCGACGGCATGAATCTTGTTGGTCTGCTTGGGCACGCAGCGCTTGACCGTTTCCTTGTCGTCGTCGCTAAGGATGGACGGCATCGTGAAAAGATATGAGGGGTGGAAGCGTGGAAGTGGTGGGTGGTGGGTTGCGGCCTGTCGTCCCCTTTAGATCGTCCAGGGGGAGCAAAGCATGGATAGATTGGGAGTCGTTATGCGAGAAATCGGTAGAAGGACTCGGCCGGCGGGCGCAGCGCCGAGAGGTACTGTTATGAAGCTGAGTCGCCGTGCCTTGGTCCGGTCGGCGGGTCGGTCGGCGAGGGGGGGCAACGTCGAGCGAAGGACGAGGTAGCAAGTTGGAAGTGGGATGTCGTATTAATGCTTTTCGGGTCGTTGGCGCTTGTTATCGACGGCCAAGTATCTTGTCGGTACAAGATAAAGTAAAGCTCCGCGCTTCCGTGGCCTTGCCGCGTAGGAATAAAAGCACCTGACGGAAGCCTAGAAGAGACAATGGAAGTTGCCGGTTAGCTAGAGGTAGGTCTGGGTATTGGAGGCACGGATGTTTGGTGGTTGGTGGGAGGAAGACTCGGCCGCCCGGATGTCCAATGACTGAAAGGAGCAAAAGCAGATACTGAGTAGAAGAGACGGCGGCAATAACGTACCTCGGACAATGATCCAGCAGCCTTCAGTTGGCAAGCTTACCTATAATCTGCCGTGAAAATTCAATGTACTCTTAAAGCTGTACAGAGGAGCAAGTCCGATTGCAAGGGAAGACAAGGAAAGTTGAATTGCGGGTGTAGTGTACCTGGCAAGAGGTTAGGCATGCAGTGAGTGTACACTACACTACGGGGATTGGGAGTTGCATCACTACGGCGGCGGCAGCAACGACCTGGCTTTGACTCGAATCAGGATGGCAACTTAACGGAACCCCAGCAAGCCACAATGACCAATTTCCGACGGGAAGCGACCAACTTGTGGACATCCATGGACCACTGCAGATAGCGTCATGACATTGTGCCGGGGGTGGATAGGGCGTCAATTGTCTGTGTCCACTAACAGTGGGTACCTCCGTATCCCTCACATTGGCGGGGATCTCTCGTGGGCAACTGAACCCCTCCACTATTCCCGCCGCTTGCACAGCCGACGGACCTTTCGCTTGCCCGACGTGATGATGGATGTCCAACGAGACGGTTCCTCCGAGAGCTGTTTGAGGGACATGTTGAAACAACAACTTCCATGTGCATTTGGAGGTTATAGCTCAGGCTGATATCGATAGGATGAAAGTAGTGTACGAACATGGGATGACATGGAAGTACCTACCTCTACCTTCACATGCTAACTTGCTCCCTTTTGAGACAACTTTGGAGGACCATTTAGTCCCCTCTCATTTGGGCGCAATTACACCACCAAAGTCACTTTAGGCTCCATCAAGACTGATCCATCAGAGTACTTGTCAAAACAGTTCAATTATATATGTGTATGTGTATCATTCAGTCATTGCAATCATTCCATCCATTCCCCTGTTTGTCCATCCCTTCACTTGTTGAGCGCCTCAGCCTTGGCCCTGCGCTCCTCCTTGGTGCCCTCCTCGCCACCGATGTTCTGCGAGATGGCGGGACCGGGCATGGCCTTTGACGCCTGCTCGAACGTGGCCTTGGCACTATCAGCGAGCTTGTTGAGGGGGTTGTTGGCGTTCTTCTGTTTGTTTGGTCAAGAGTCAGTTTTCTGTTCTCTGTGGTTTACGGTTCACACAAGGCGCTAGGTTCCACAAAGACAACGTACTTGCTCGTCCTTCTGGGTGTCGTGGGGAAGAATGTTGACTTCCTTCTTGCTGAGATCGTCGCCGCCGGCCATTGTGGTGGTCTTGGTGTTATGACTTGTCTTGATGGTTCGTGAGGAGTGGGTCGTAGTGAGACAACTGAGAGTCTTGATCAACTTCTTCGATATCGTCTTGCAGGAGGATGGGTAAGGTGTAGAAGTAGAAAGCTGGGAGGGTCGAGAAGGGTCTCTTTTATAAAAGAAGACGATGGATGAGCAAAAGGGAAACCGAACAAACCTGTAGTCGTCGTACCACGTACAAGGGGCCTAAAAGAGAGGGTGTAAGACAATGACGTCGCCTGGGTGTGGTCACGCGTCGTTTACTATGCGGCGGCAGGCACACTGAATGACAGCTGCCAAAACCTCCCACGAACAGCGCATCAAACCGACAAGAGCATTCCTTCTCCGACTGGAGGGAACCACTCAGGGACCGCCATTAGTACAACACACATGATACTTACCGTCCATCATCCCAGGTTTTCTCCATCATGATCCTCGACTCGGACTGACACTGCACTGCACTGCCCCGCATGTCATGTCGGCCTCCAGTGCCCCGCAACCCGTGAAGCTCTCACTTCCTCTTGTGCGTCCATAAACCAAATTTAATCTTGTGTTCATCTAGACTGATAACAAACACAGGTCTACCAACAGAAACTGTTTGAAGAGCTTCGCAAAGAAGATGAGCTTGTCATTCTCGCCCGAGGCCTCGGTCTCATGCGCCTCATCACCAACCTGCTTCACTCGTATGATGCCGCGGGAAACAACCTGATTGTGCTTGTCAACGCTGAAGACAGAGAGAATGCCTGGATTGGTGAGGCCCTGGCCGAGCATGCCGCTATCAGCATGTCTCCCAAGGCCCGGGGCTTGACCGTCGTCAACACGGACTTTACCAGTGTCGGGACAAGAGAGAAGATGTATGCCCAGGGCGGCATCTTTAGCATCACGTCGCGCATCTTGGTCGTCGACTTGTTGACAAACCTCCTGAACCCGGAGACCATCACGGGCATGCTTGTCCTCCACGCGGATCGCATAGTTGCCACTTCGCTCGAGGCCTTCATCCTCAGGATATACCGCCAAAAGAACAAGGTTGGCTTTCTCAAGGCCTTTTCAGATAACCCGGATCCCTTCACAGTAGGCTTCTCGCCACTGGCTACCATGATGAGAAATCTGTTTCTCCGAAAGGCTTCACTCTGGCCTCGCTTTCATGTCCAGGTCGCTCAATCCTTGGAGGGAAGGAAGAAGGCTGAAGTCATCGAGTTGGAAGTCCCCATGACCGACTCCATGCGAGAGATTCAAACTGCCATCATGGAATGTGTCGAGATCAGCATTCATGAGCTCAAAAAGGAGAACACCGGGCTGGAAATGGAAGACTGGAACCTGGACAGTGCTCTGACCAGGAACTTTGATCGTATGGTACGGAGACAGCTGGAGCCAAACTGGCATAGAGTCAGCTGGAAAACCAAGCAGATTGCTGGCGATCTGACAGTCCTTCGTGGTATGCTCCAGTCTATCCTCGCCCTCGACGCCGTGTCATTCTTGCAACAGCTGGACACCATTCATGCGGCACATAAGCCTGCTCCTGGGACTACCAGGCAGACAGAGTCCCCTTGGCTGTTCTCTGACGCGGCCCAAACCATCTTCGAGACTGCAAGACAACGAGTCTATTCTAGCAAGCAAAAGGCGGGTCCAAACTCAACCATCGAGTCACTGAAACCTGTCTTGGAAGAACAGCCAAAGTGGGCTGTCCTTGCAGATGTCCTCGAGGAAATTGACAGAGATCTCTACTTTGAACCAGCTGTTCGCGATGATTCCAACGGGACCATCCTGATCATGTGTGCAGACACCGACACATGTCGTCAGCTACGCGACTATCTACAAACAATGCACATCCGGCCTCGAACGGCAAAGAAGGTGGAAGAGGTGTATGACCCTGAAGAGGACAAACCATCGGGTGCCTTCCTGATGAGGCGAAAGTTACGAAACTATCTCAACTGGAAACGAGAATTCGCCCAAGTCAACGCCACCCTCTTCTCCGAGAACCAAAAGGCCCTCAGCGGCGCCGTCGACCCACGACTCCCCCAGGCTAGAGGCCGAGGAGGAGCGCCAGCAAACAAACGGCGCCGAGTCCGCGGCGGTGGTGGTGGTGTCGGGAGCAACGCCAGCCGCCATGAGAACGGCAGCATCGTCCAACACTTTGAAAAGCCCAACGAAGTAGCCGACCTGATGTCCGAGATCCAAATCACCGAAGACGACGCAGGCGGCCAAGCAGCCGAAGAAATCATCACCTTTGCTACAGCCGACCCGCTCGAGGACATGGACGACTACTACCAACTCTACGACATGCAAGACCTAGTGGTCATCCACGCCTATGAAGGCGACCAAGACGAGCACGTCCTGGAAGAGGTAAAGCCCAAATACATTATCATGTACGAGCCCGACGCCTCCTTCATCCGGCGCGTCGAAGTCTACCGCTCCTCGCACAACGACCGCAACGTGCGCGTCTACTTCTTGTACTACGGCGGCTCCGTCGAAGAGCAGCGGTACCTCTCGTCGGTGCGTCGCGAGAAGGACGCCTTTACGAAACTCATCAGAGAGCGGGCCTCCATGTCCATCGTCATGACGACCGACTCCCACGGGGTCGAAGACCCCGAGTCCGCTTTTCTACGAACCATCAACACCCGCATCGCCGGCGGCGGCAAACTCGCCAAAGCGACGGCCCAACCACCGCGCGTAGTCGTCGACGTGCGCGAGTTCCGCTCCTCCTTGCCTTCGCTCTTGCACGGCCGCTCCATGGTCATCGTCCCCTGCATGCTCACCGTAGGCGACTACATCCTATCTCCCAACATCTGCGTCGAGCGCAAGTCCGTCTCCGACCTAATTTCCTCCTTTAAGGACGGCCGGCTGTACGCCCAATGCGAGACCATGTTCCAGCACTACAGGAACCCGATGCTCTTGATCGAGTTTGACCAGAACAAGTCCTTCACTCTGGAACCTTTCGCCGATTTATCGGGTAGTTTGCGCAGCGTCAACCCGGAAAACGCGGGCGCCAACGACTTGCAGTCCAAAATTGTGCTGCTCACGCTGGCGTTCCCGAAACTCCGCATCATCTGGTCCTCATCCCCTTACGAGACGGCAGAAATCTTTGAGCGGCTGAAAGCGCTTGAGGAAGAGCCCGATCCCGTTGCGGCTGTCAGGGCGGGGTTGGGGGAAGGAGAAAGTCCCGAGGATGGGGTGAATGAGGGGAAGGGGGCGGTGAATGGGGGTAGTACGTTCAATATGGAGGCGCAGGAGATGTTGGGCAAAGTCCCGGGCGTGACGCCGAAGAATATCAGGAACATTACTGCCGAGGCGGAGAATGTGAGGGAGGTTGCGAATATGGAGGTGGAGGAGCTGGGGAGGCTGGTGGGGAGGGAGGCGGCAGGGAAGATTGTCGAATTTTTCAAGAAGGATGTTTTGGAGGATTATAGTGGGTGAGGATGAATATGTATGTTGATTTGTGAAGAAATCAAGGCCGTTTGGTAGAAAGACATCTGATTTAAATAGTCAGCTAGAGTAGATAAGACCGATGTTGCGCAGAAAGGCCTGTGGTCTAGGTTTGTTCAGGACAACGGAAGCAAGCCAGTTATGTGTTTTCATCTGTTTCACATGTCGTTAATCACGTTAAAGAACACTATAGGTAAATGAGAAGTAATGTTCAATATCAGATGCATTCCTAACACTACCAATCTCCTCCATCCACCAAGATATCATGAACCGAATGCAAAGCGTAAAGGGGGTATGTATAGGGTATCTCTGTCATCTCGTACTATCGTATAACCTCCATAACTCATTACCGCATTAATTTGCTTCATCGCCGTCGCTGTCGCCGTCGCCATAAAACATATTCGTAAGAAACAAAAAGAAAACCATTAACCGCATGCTCTTTTCAAATCTCAACGACTGGGTATCATCCGTCTCCTCCATCATCTCCTCTCCTCCATTATCTTCCCCCTTCTCTCCTTCTCCCGCCAAGTTCCAATTCCCTACCACGCACGACTCGCCCGACTCGAGGAGTCAGAGACTTAAATAGCCGCAGTACCCCCCGCATGTCTCCTGCGTCCCATCCCACCGCTCCGCCTCCTCATGCGACCCCGACGACTGCCGCAGTAGTTGCACGTCAAAAAGCCGACAATCACGTCAATCACGCCAATGACGCCGTTGATGATGGCCATGAGGATGGAGCCGATGCCGTTGACGACGCCCATGATGGCGCGGCCGATGGTGCGGAAGACGCTTTGGATCTGTTTTTTTGCAAGCAAACGGAAGTTAGTATGTGGGTTTGGTGGGAGAGGGGCGATGTGGAGGGAAGAACGTACGCAAGATACGACGGCGCCCATTTTTGATGGTGTAGTGTAGGTTTTCTGGTTCTTTGTTTTGATCGATGGTTTTAGGGTTGTTTGGAGGTGGGTTGTTGCAGGGTGATAAATATGATGCTTCGTATCGTCGAAGTCTTTCTCTTGAAGATGGATGTTTGTTGATGATTTGATGGTGAGGATAGAAAGGATGGATGAATCACGGTTGGAGAAAGGGAAGGTGGGTGGGTGTGATTATATATTCATTGTTCAGTTCGTCTGGTCTGGTCTTGCAACCAAGGCATCCAGTCACTTTTCATTCAGTTGCGCATTCGTCACTTCTCTTTTTTTTTTTGTTGTTTTTTTCCTGTTTGTCGATGGAATTCATCATCCCGCTGCCTGCTAGGTATTCACTATTACCTACACTACACTACCTACCCGCTCGCCCAGGTACTGTACCTACCCTACGTATTGCGTACATCCATGCAAGGCATCCTACCTTCTGCATGCCTGGTGTGTGTCAAGTCAAGTGTCCTTGTGTGTGTATGCAGTTCATCTGCGGTAAAAAGTGCCTGTGACGTCACAGGGCGGGTGGCTTTTGGGTACCGGTACCTTTGTTCTCTCAAGCACTGCACCTAGCTAGCCAAGGGGAGACGCGGGTTGATGTCGTTAACTAGCCGTTACAGACAAGGTCTGGGCTGACGGGAAGAAGAAAGATAAGACCGGCTCTTTCGAGAAATAGATCGACTCCCTCAGTCCCCATCCCATGTCCCATGTCCCATCCTGTGTGTGCGTGGCCAACCATGATGACTGGTTGGGCTTTCCCAGAGTGTGTGTGGTTAATCTTGGTTTTTGAGAGGGCTACGATATCAACCGCATTACCTAGTCACGGCACTCGTTTTTTTTTCTTGTGTGTGGTCCGTCACGCGGACGAGGTGATGAAAGATTTCGACATGATCATGGCTCGTGTCGGTTGGTCTCCGGGTTACATGTGGCTACGTAGTGGCTTGCCTCTTTCCAAATTACTACCTGCTCTCATCGGTCTAGTCAGTCGTGATTAGCCTGAGGACTACTGGACGGAGGGAGGTCAAAAGATGTAATGCCACATGTGGCTTGACGTCTTTTCCGTCCCCTCGCTTCTCTCACTACCCCCAACCAACCAACCAACCTGATGAGAGGCGAAAGTCGCCATTCCTCCCCTCCCCTCCGACGGGTACTCATCACTCCCTCACCATTGCCCCGTGGTTCGGTTCAGTTTTCCTTTCCCATCCTTAGGTCTCCGTCTGCAAACTCACTCATCACCTCCATAAGACAACCGTGCAATATCCTACTGTGTATGTATCCTCACGCCTCCCCGACCAGACCTCAACTCCTTGGCACATAGCACACTAGCCAGCCAATCTTCCGCAACCTTCCGTCTGTCTCGTCTTGCTTCGTTACGTCTAGCTAAAGAAAATAAAACGCTAGCATCCCTTCAAAGAACTTCCTCAAAGGAGAAAAAACAAGGGTCGTAGCTACAAGGTTATCGACAGACAGCGGATCGTAACGATGTATCCTTACGTCATAGGCGTTCTCCACTTTCGCATCGATGCACGACAAACAAACAAACGAACGAACGGGCGGGCGGCCGGGCTGGTTGCACATGGCTTGTGGATCCCATTCCGCGCTTATACATCCATACTTATGTACCTCTACACTACACTACGTTCAGTCTGACACTTCCACTTCCACTTATGTAGTGTACTATCTCTCCCCCGTATCATGATGGGAGACGTACATTATGTAGTACTCTTAGTTCAGTTGTTTGGCGTGATTACCTAGGTACGTAATCCATACTTGTGTACAGCACACAGAAAGGTGTCAGTCAGTGGATTCAGTCCGGAAGACCCTGAATTCAGAAATCTGGATCATCAATCATCCCGCATGGCCAACCAAGTCTTTGGCTTCGGGGGAATAAACAAGCTTTTTAAACTGGAGCATTTTCCTTGGGTTTTGCTGGAGCCCAGAAAGACGTTGGGCCTTAAGGGCGGATACCTTTGCTTGATTCATTTCTTTTTTTCTTTGTGGTTGACTTTTACACATGGGTGGGTAGCCATGTGATGTCAACACTATCTCCATTGATTACCTACCTATCCAAGGGTCTTGGTCTTGTTGTCTTGTCTTGATATCTGAAACTGACTCTGGCACCAGCACACTCAACACATGGAATTCAGGGTCTATGTAGTTCCATGGGATATTTCAACATCACATCATAACTGCCAATGTTATATTCTTGGCGGATACCATGGCAAGGCCAGAGGATTCGTCTTATGCATTAGGTATTATTTACTACCGTATCATCCTCTTCTCTTCATCCGAACGGGAATAAGATCTACCGTATACATATACCGGACCGTTGACTCGTTGTCCGTTGTCCACAGCGGAACCACTCCCGCCTACAGATACTGTATAGCATCACCAACGTCTGCCCTTCCACCTACATACATATCGACACCCGACCCTAGCTATTACTCAAAATCCCCACCACCCCACCCACCTTCCTCCCCAAGCCCATTCCATACCCAACCTCCACCACGCCCCTTGCAAACCTCCAGCTCCGCTCCTGATCAGGAACCGGATACTGCATCGGCCGCGGTATCGCCGTCCTCACACCCAGCCACCCAAACCGATCCTCACAAACCGCCTTGATATTACACAACCCCCGCAGTCCTTCCTCGCCCGCAAACCTTCCGTATCCCGACCCCGCCACGCCTCCAAAGGGAAGCTGCACCGCATACGTAGCTCCGAAATCGTTGACGGCTACCATACCCGCCTTCAATCCCCTGACCACCTCGTGCAGCGTAGAATCCCACTCCGATCCGAACACGGAGCTGCCCAAGCCAAAGTCGGGCGCGTTGGCGACGGCGAGGATGTCCTCCGCCGAAGAAGAAGCGGCGCGCATCACCACCATGATGGGCCCGAAGCACTCTTCTTGCGCGATAGCCATGTCTGGCGTGACGTCTACGAGAAGCGTAGGCACAAAGTAATGACCGCTTGGGTATTCAGGGTGTGCGTACCGCTTGCCGCCGGCCAGGAGTCTAGCGCCTTGTTTGACGGCGTCAGCGACCAGTCCTTCGAGACGAGCGAAAGCGGTGTCGGAGATCATGGCGCCCACGTCGGCCGTGGGACCCAGACGAAGAGCGCGCACGCGCGGGGTGAGCATGGAGAGGAGGGTGTCGTAGTGTTGGGGAGCGACGACGATGCGCTCGATGCCGATGCAGTTCTGCCCGGAGGCTTGGAAGGTGCCGCGCATGAGCGTGTTGACGATGCGAGGGAGGTCGGACTTGGGGGCCGAGGCGAGGATGATGGAGGCGTCTTTGCCGCCGAGCTCGGCGAGAACGGGGATAAGGGCCTTGGAGGCCGATTCGGCGACTTTCTTGCAGACGGGCTGGGAGCCGATGAAAGTGATGTGGCTAATCTTGGGGTGGGAGGTGATGTGGTTGGCTGTTTGGGGCCAGCAGACCACGGTTTCTGTGCGGAACAGGCTTGTTAGCAAGGGCCAAGGTAAGCAGTAGACTCAGGAAAATCGGCAACACGTACGAACAAGCGCAGGGTTATGACCATGCGCAACCAACGCGCCCCTGATCACACTCGTAAACCATTGCGAGCTCCACGCCGTCTGCTCCGATACCTTGACTACAATCCCGTTGCCTGCAAACAGCGCGCTAATCACCGGTCCGATCAAGTTGTGAAACGGGTAGTTCCAGCTCACCAGCGCAGCAACCACGCCCAGCGGCTCGTAGTGCACCGTGTTCCTCTTATACGCCATCAACAGGTTCGTAGGCCTCGATTCCGGGCGTAGCGCCTTCTCGCCATGCTTGATGGTCCACTGCAGCTTCTCGGCCGTAACCAGGATCTCGCCCAGCTGGGCGTCCACCATGGTCTTGCCGCTGTCGAGACAAGCCACCCTGCAGATCTCCTCCTGGTTGTCGAGCACGTATTGGAGCAGGGAACGGAGGACGGCGCGTCGCTGGCGGAAGGTGGTCTTGGCCCATTCGGTCTGGGCGGCGTGGGCTTGGTCGATGGCGCGGTCGATGCCTTCGGGGGTCGAGGGGTTGACGAAGCCGAGGAATTGGCCGGTGGCAGGGGCGTAGCATTGGATCGCCGAGGTACCCGAGACTTTGATTGAGGGGTTCTCAAGGATGTTCTCCTCTTTGGAAAAGTTGGCGGGAGGAATCGTGTAGCGGATCGGCTGGTCTTCGCGGCTCGCCATGTACCAGACGGCCAGCGCGGCGAGGGCTGACCAGACGAGGGCCCATGATGATTCGGGAATGTAGCTTCCTACCCTGTTGTGCTGGGCTTGTCAGTAAGGTTTGGAGCGTACCGGAAAGGTGTAGGAGGGAAAAGGCACGTACGGTGCATCCTCCAAAGCGGTCCGGAGCTGCACGAGCAGACTCCTAGGTATCTCCGCCGCCATTGTTGCGCTGAGTGAGCTTGTAGAGGCCAAGGACAGACCACCCCAAGCACTTGACAGCCTCAACAAGTCTTACAACGGTAGTTGTCTAGCGTAGGAGAAGCTCGAATAGTCGAGAAAAAGAAAAGTTCCAGGGGTAAGCTACTTATTGGGGAGCTGTTCCATCAGGCGCGTGTTCGTGAGCTGATGCAGGCACACCCCACATATATAGTACCACCCGGCAGGCAATGGAATGCTTGTGAGTGCTAGCCACAAGGGTTCCCTTCTCCCCAACCCCTTTTTCTCGACGTAACTCGGAAGGAGTAGTCATACAGGACGAGTAAACAATTAAGAGTTTCCACACGGAGTGATGTTTATGTTTTGCTCAAGAGATTCGGGAAAAATGAAAAATAGCTATCAACACCGTGCAAGTATTGCGAATCTCTTCCCGTAGTTTCTCTCGGTCTATATCTACATTAGTTCACAGTAGATCTGCTGTTGAATATAATCTGGAACCTTTTCGCAGTTGACTCCATATTCTACATAAACCGAAACTTACGAACACGAAGGGCAAGTTAATCCTGCACCAAATATATATATCCTTCTGAAGTGTGCGAGTCCACGCATTCATTCATCACCAAACAACCATCCCATACCACTGTAATTCTGCTTGCTTTTGCTTCCAACAGAGCCAGTCATGAATCCAAAGACCCAAAAAGTAGTTACTATCAAAACAATGTGCGGGGTATTTATGAATTCATAGATAATGTACACTTTTGGCTTTTGCAGATTTCAGTTTGTACTCACTTTGCTTGCTCTTATCTCTTTCTTACCATACTATACTCTCTTCACTCGCTCGCTTAGCTTGCTTGCTTGCTTGCTCCATTCTCTTCATCTCCTCAACTCGACCCGACCTCTTCTAGTACTGTGGTGAT